AGAGACAGGCCCCGCACCGCCGCCGGGATCATGGTGAAGGAGGAGTGCAAGGCGCTGCTGGACGCGCTCAACAAGGTGACCGCCTGCTACCGGCACATGGTGCTGACCATCGGCGGCACCTCGGACTCGCAGAACCTGCGGGAGGAGCTCAAGAAAACCCGGCAGAAAGCTCAGGAGCTAGCGGTGGCCAACAGGAACAAGCTCACCACGGTCCTGAAGGATAAAACCGTGAGTAAGGAAGACAAAGCCGAGTTCGAGAGGCTATGGGTGATTTTCTCCACGTGCTTGGAGATCCTGGAGATCGACATGAGGAGGGCCCTGGAGCTGGGCCACGAGTTCCCGCTAAACGTCCCCAAAAAGCACCTGATCCAGACAGGCATGAGCGGGGGAACCTCCGGCGTGGCCGCCAGGGCGATGAGCGTCCAGAACATGAAATACGAGGCTGACCACAACATAGACGTGGTGGATTTGAAAGACCTCGAGAACGAAATCAACCAGGTAGGAGAGATGATGTACGAGATGGAAATGAAGGTCAATGTCCCCCAGTGGACGGTGGAGGCTAAGCAGGACCCGGGGGCTGAACTAAAATCCACCATTAGCGTGGGCGCTTCTTCTATTGGCATGATCTCTGTGGAGGAAAATAAGTCTTTCTGCGATATCAGCAAGGTTCTAGCTGGGATTATTTTCACCGCTGTGCTCATTATCGCTATTGTCCTGGCAGTGTGTGTGGTAAAACTCTCTTAGGGTGGTGCAGACTCTGACAAGAGCAATCCCTCTCCGGTCTGTCTTTGGAGTGTTTCACACTTTAAATTTCAAAACGGGTCACCTGGATGAGCTGAGAATTTAAACCTAGCACCTGAAAAATCAAAGGAAAACTTTTGCCTCTCAGTATCCTAAAATGCACAATTTGTTTTTTCTTGCTTTTTGAAGAAGAGAGATGCGAATCAGCCTGCAGAATAGGATGTCTCCATTTGCTGGACTTGTAACAGTTAACTATGGAGTATCAGGGTATTATCACTACTGGCTGTAACAGGGATTTGTCTGCTATTAATAGATCACTATTCTCAGAAGCCTGTATTTTTTTGTTCTCGAATAGGCTCTGCTGTTTGCTGCTGGTCACTGTTTACAGTATTTGAAAGTAACACAAATTTGGAGGCTAACACTGGTGTTTTGTCCGACTGCATAGAATACCTTTTTATTTTCTTCATCAAATACATAAAATATTATTTCAGTGGAGGAGAAGAGGAAGGATTAAAACCCCAATAAAATAATGTAAACGACCTCTATTTTAGATAAATTAATAGCTGCGGAGGGGGGAGGTGAGGAGGAGGATGGAGGAAACAGAACAAGCAGTGTTTGATACCAAATACTGTTTGCTGATTTAGGCTGGATTGTACAGAACCCAGTTGCATGGGTTGACAGAGCACACATAAATGAGTAATGGCTTTCAAAATCCAGGGAGAAAAGGAGAGTTGCATATTCAGAAAAATAGCAGCAAGCCTCATGGTTCAAATACACATTTACCACAATTTCATCTTCCTCTGCAGAAAGGCTAATCCTTGCCACTGGCTCAAATTTTTCTTTCTGTAGAAGCAAACAGTTTGCACTTCACAATTAACTATGAAAATAAGAGCAATGAATCTACCCACAGTAGAAGCAGTAATTTTTGAAGATAGATTTTGGGAAACAAAAATGATGTTGAGTTAAAGCAGACTTTTCTAGTAACCCACAGAGATTCCCTCTCGTGTTGATAGGCCAGGATCGATGCCAGTATATGTACAGTTACATTTCCTGCAGGCTCCTAAATTCTTTGCAGAAACCCAGACAGAGGTAAAAATGTGTCTCAGTTTCCTATCTCATTCATGTCTGATTAATCATTTGGGAAATGGGAAGCCTGTAGGATTGGTCCAATTTGGTAAACTGCATTTTTTTGGAGGTAAATGCAAGAGCAGCATAAAAATTTCCAGTGCTTCCCTATAAAAATGTCAACATTTAAATGTAAAACAGACACTAACATTGCAGAGAAGCTCTATGATGTGTTGTAAAAGGACCTATGTATTATGGTATTAAGTAATTTATGAAAATGTCTTCCGTTGCTGCGAACACACGCTATCCATTCAAGAATGCTTGATACATACTTTATAGTGCCCTCAGTGTAAGAGGCACTCCACAGCAAATATAAAGACCCTGTAATTTTGGAGTTTTAGTAAGTTATTATTCTTCTGCACTGATTATTATGGACACATCAAAAAGTAACAATCGGACATGTTTTGTGAAGTTATAACAGTCTTCATGCTTGTTAAAATTATGGTGACAACACTCATAAACAGCTAATATTTTTGAGTTAAAAATTAAACATACTTTGAAAAACTGCAGCAAAATTTATTCTTTAAAAATCAAGAAAACTGGACTTGAGAAGAAAAACTGTCGACAAATTTGAATCTGGTCACTTGTAGGTGAGAAAAATAATGTTTATGAGTAAAAATAGTAAGTGGAGGCCTGAATTAAAAGCTATAGACTATCATTATGTTGAAGGATAATGTGAGTTCTGCATATTGATCCAGTCTAGCTCCCTTCTCGTGGGAATTCAGTTTTATAAGAGGACTCCATACTCCTTTCTATTGTATTGGACTCATTGTGTAGGCTGTTTCATACGTAGTTAACTTAGGTTCGTAGAGATCCCCAGCAGCGTTCTAACAAAGTCAAGCCTGTATTTATGGGTGCTACTGTTTCAGTCTGCCTAGACAAGGTGTAATTGCTGTGTGTTGATTGATATGAGAAGATCTCCTTCACAGTCATACCGAGTCAACATCTTTATGGAAAATACATCAAAAGCTACAGGAAAATGTGGGTATTTCTACCCTTTGCACTCTCCTTTTATGTAGTTCACAGGAACGTGGATAAGACGTTGGACTCTATTCTGTGCTTCTTGAAAACTCCATGTTCCTTTTGAAATCAGATTGTTTAACCACATGTTCTGAAAACCCAAGTAATGCAAGCATGGGTTCTGGTGGATAAGTAAATGGCAACACCTACATTATCTTGTATCTTGGTATCCTGAAGCGGGTACACTGTTTATGCACAGTTAGTTGTATAGAATTTTTAAGAATATGTAATCTCATCTTCAAAACAAGCCTCAGTGAGTTGGCAAACTGTAAATTTTCAGTCTGTTACATTTTTGTAGTTTAGATTTTTGGATACAGGACTCAATTCCTATAAGTAGCCTATAATTATGTAAGTCTTGCTTCATTATGAATATGCATACAATTAGAATTTAAAGGACTGGACCATGGAAAAATAATGTATTTTCAGATCTTAAATCAAAGCTGGCTGCAGATTTATTCATTCTTGGTTTGCTCCTAAAAATCTGTATCATCTTATATTTAGGCTATCTGAAATTAAGAGATTAAGTAGAATTCTAACAGAGGATTGGCGCCATCTAAATGGATAATGTTCCTGCCATTAACCTCCTACGCTCGATACAAGGGTACACTCAATGTGAGAGAGTTCAGGCACAACAGTGCACAAAAGCAAAACCAGATGAAACCACCACTGCCTAAAAGTACTGATGCTTCTTTTAAATTAGAAATAAAGAGTTGTTGTAGATTTGCACTGTTTGGTTTTTTCCATCACTGGAATGCAACGGGAAGGAAACTGGAAATACTAGTTTTGTAAGTGAAAAATGGGAAGTCGCACTTTAAAATACTCTAAATAGCATGATGAAAATGCAAATACTCTCATGCTGATCAATGAATGAGAATGTTGCTGTGTTTTCAGTACAAAAGAAGGAGGTCATTCCTTAATTTCAATGTTCTACTTCAGTTCTTTTGTCTTTATTCACAGGATATACACATTAAATTTGCTATATACTAAAATCTTAATTCTTGACTTGAATTATACTGGTTTTGCCTGTGCATGGGGGGTATTTTCTATACTTTGAATAATTCAAACTTGTTACTATTTAACTTAAAGTACATTCTTATATCTTATGGGTTGGCTTGCAGCAGTAATTAAAACCAAACAAAAACTAGAATATTAATACAGTTTGTCAGTAAGCTTTTCTAACAAAAAAGTTCCTATTTCAACCACAGGAATAAAAGTAACATGCTAAGCCCTCTCATTACAGTTTTCTTTACATAAATGAACCCTTCTCAAGCTCCCAAAGTTGAATATAGTGATACATATTAATTTATACTGCAAGGGAATCAGCTGCCTGAAAAGTCAAGAAATCTCTGCCTGAGGCAACAACTACAATAATATTTAAGTAACAGGGATGACGTTGCATTCAGCACTGCTTGTTCATTGTTGTTGCATAACATACAGAACCATTGGCTCAGGCAACTGAAAACCAGAGAACGTGTTGGACTAGACTAATGTATTAGATCCTCACTGTGTTAGGATCCAAACTCTGCCCCCTTCCAGCCCACTAAGCTTGCATTTACTTTAGCAAAATATATACACAACCTACAAAGTGAGAAATTTGGTTCTGTGGTATTGATAGCAACAACGATCAACAATTGCATCTAACTATCAGAACCGAGTCTGTTAAATGCAGCAATTTGTGATTTTATTCCAGGACTTCCAGTCTATCACCATAAAGACCCTCTACACTGCTTTTTAGTTTACTAACAAAATGAACACAGAACCATATTTAAAGTGATTCTCAAGTTGCAAACAATGTAACATCAAACATCAGCATTATGAATATGAAATAAAATTAGTTTCAGAATTCATGTAATATGAATTTTTTTTTACATGAATGCAATTATATAAAAATGGACTAAATGGACTGATACCATTAGCTTTTGGATTAAAAATTAAACATGTGCTTATTGTTTGTAGTCTGAAAGGACTGGTTATGGGCTTTCTTTTCCTTCTCTTACAAGGTTTGTGTTGTTTATGTACATTTTCCAGAAATACCTTATATTTAAGTGCTAATGGAACTCCTAGTCAACATATTTACCCTTCACAGATTTTCATTATGTAAAAAGTCATTCAGTAAGACCAGTGGATTACAGATCTCTAAGTGCTTTCTCTCAATACGATTATGTAAGTCTTTTAATGCAGGAAGAGATCTGGACAAAATAGTAGTCTACACGTGAACAGCATTTGCTATGGTAAGCATACAATAAAAGTGGGATTAGAAAAGTGTATCTTTCATATAAAATTACCTGCATGTGTTGAGAGAAGGGCAAGAAAAGGAAGGAGATGGATGGATGTAGTAAATATGTCTTCATCTTATGTTAGCAAAGTATGTTATGGTTTTTGTTGAATATAATAGCATCACAACCTTATACTATAGCTTCTCTATAAGAAGGCATTATCCTGTATCCAGTAGGACAAAGAATATAAAATATCCCTGAGTGGAACTGACTACCCATTCTCTGATTAACTCAGTACAGAGTAAGCGTAAAAATATTTTGACTTGCTACATGTTCATACCAATTTTACAAGACAGCCCTTTTCTCTCTCTGTTACACACTACTAAGACTTTCTATTGGAAGCAGGTGGTCCCAGAAGCCTGGATTCTCTCATCCATCCTGACAGCTTGCTGCTGCAGTACTGTGATGCAGTTGGAAATGTAGCTTAATCAGCTACCACTAATTAAACCTGTGGAAAGGTGAAAAGTCACGTGGCATCTAACCAGCATGAAGGCTCTTCTACATCTTCTCACACAGCCAAGCCACGAGCATTTCCTGCTGGAAGCACTGTGACTAGAAGCCACGTAGGCAAATACAAATAAAATCACAGCACCTTCGAAAATCTGTCACCCACAGCGGCTAGTTAGCACAAGCAATTACTTTTCTTGCTCAGTTCCAGTAATTTTGTCAGAATTTCTACTGTGGTTTTCCTAAGTGTCAGGATTGACTTTTGAGCCTCCACAGGGTCAGGTGGGTTTTGTTTTAACTGAACTGTGTGTTTTCTTTTATTTACACTGTATTGCGTGACATTATTTATCAGATACTAGTAACATCTCCACCTAATTAAAGTAACAAATCTTCTAAAGGCTGGTTCTAATTCAAGTGCACAGAAATGGAAGTTACAATCATAGTATAAATGTGGTCTGTTATTTTGATCAGTTTTTCACTACGCATTAAAATAATCATGGAAGTCTATTATCAGTCAAGTGTGTCTATTGTACAGAAATGTTCAAAGAAGATGTACAGCTGAACTCATTGATGTGTCACAGCATAAGGAATTACACTGCCTTCAAAAAACATGGGGTTTTTGTCAGAACAGTAAATGTCAGGTCATACAGCTATGTATAATTGTATTGAGAAAAAAATATTTAAAAATTCAAATGCGATTCCTCTGTATGATCTTCAAGAATCTATATATAAATAGCATAAACCTTGGGGAAAAACAAGTGAGAAAGGCAGAAATAAGAAAAGAAGACAAAAGAAAATATTTAACTATTTATACCATATAAAATGACTGAGGAGTACCTGACACACCAAACATGATACTCTCTTAGCAACTTAATCTAATATGCTAATTGCATGTGTAACTTTATATATAAATACACATTTGAGTTCTGGGTCCTAGAGGGAGTGGTGTGAATTGTTATTCACATAAGCCATCACTACTCAGGTTAGTGAGAAATTATGTGTGAAAACTATTCATGTAATTAAAACCTGCAGAATTAGAACCAAAAATTTCAGTTTGCATAAAACATGTAATCCATTATGTGTCTGTTGGAAGTAGAACATTTCCTGTTGTTAATACTATCTGTAACCTAGTTTTCTGATCTGCTTTGCTTTGTTGAAGTATTGTTTTGTATGAAGGTAGCTATATTTTTAATTATTATTTTTAGTCAATCTATATAATGGTGCTATGATTATAAAGCTGCATTTCCTAGATTTGACATTTATTCACGTTTTGGACAATACTTGGAAAATTATAGTGAATAATATATTTACTTTTTATATTATCTGCTGAGTCTGCCATTGATACTATATGAGCTAAACAATCTAAAAGCTTTAGAATGTCATTCTGAAATAAGCCAGTTTAAGAAGTAGTAGAAATGCTCAGTGAAATCTCTTCATTTTCTGACTTGAAGTTGTAACACTTTGACATAGTAGACACTACATCTGCATGGGGACAAAGCTTTTACCAGATGCATACAAATTAAACCAAGAACTGACTTAGTATAATAATCTCCAACTCAGGATATCATGTAAGCCAAATTAAATTGTGAATTAATGGTGGACCTTGTTTTTCATCTGAAATTCATTATTACAGTGATGCGATCTGCACTTATCTGTACATACAAAATAATTTATGCAATGATACCAACAAAAAGGAAATCATTCTATTGCGAAGTATTCTAATCACACAATAAAACCCCAGAAAGCTAGTTTTACAATAATTTCTATGTATCTAGTGACCTGAATCTTTTTTTCTTTAGACAAACTAATGTTTTCTTTTTCCCAGAAGCAGTAACTGAAGAGAAAAAAGTTGAAGTAACCTCCAGATTGCTGAAATATGATCCCACACAGAATTATTATCAGTGCAATAATCTTAGTGTTTCATTGGACATAACTTTTGCATCATTTCAGAAGGGTTTATTTTTCAATACAGCACAACCTGTTTTTGAAAACATCCTGAAATACAGAAGTATTTGGGGTCCATTAGGTTAACAATTGAATGTTCTGGAACACAAGCAGCAAGAAAGGCAGTCAAATTCTTAAGTTTTTAGCAAAAATATTTTGTCTTAAATAATTTAAACCTGGAGGGGACCTCTGACTTTCCAGCTTTCTCTATCTTACTGTCACACCTATAGCTAATTCTTGCTAAGAGACTTTTATCCAAATTAAAGCCTCCTCTACTCTCAGCCTACATAAGGGCCCTTGAAGCCTAGTGCCAGAGCCCAGTAGAATGTAGGATGTCCTTGTGCTGGAACACTTAGACTACAGTAATGGAATAAACTACCATGCTTAGTTTAGGATTGGCAATCCTGAGTAATAGATTTTCTCAGATTTTCCATTCTTTCTGAAATCATTCATAACACTATACAGATTTTAAGTACAAACACAAAATAAGGATTTTAGCAGAATATATTGGAAAAATAAGTCATCTAAGTTGGAGATGAAGAAATTAAACATGCTTTATAGATAGCCTTACACCTAGTTTGACTTTAAGGCATTTCTATAACCATTTGAGCTAGCTCCAGCTATCTCACAGAGCTTAGCTTTTACCTTTCTTGGTAGGCAACTGGAAGGGGGTAGAACATCCCTTTGCATCCTTGATCTTTGCTGACAGAGTTTGAGTGTTCATCCTTGGAACCTCCTGCCACCTCCAGTCCTGATAACTGGGTCAATTAAGGAATCGTATGCTCATTATGCTCCTGGAATTTTGCATGAGATGACTTCAGCTCTGTCGTGAATGGATATTGAACTAATCTTTGTAAGACAATACTGAAAGGAAGTTTAAAAATTGTCATCAATAGGGTGAATATCCTGACCCTTGGTTAAGGAATGTCACCCTCCTTAGGGGGAAGAGGTGCCTTACACACCCCTGGATTGTGTGGAAAAAATGCAGCTACTGAAGTAGAGAATAATATTTACCCTAACTTGCACTTGGCTGCCTCTGGTCCCAAAGGACTGCTTCAGTACTGAGAACAGTCATGAACAATTCTACATCACACAACTATTTCTTTACCAAGAGTCTGTATGTGTTTGAGATTGCAAACAGCAGCAAACATGCCAGCCACACACTTTATTTCCACGCCCCATGCAAGAATGACTATGAAATTAGATCTGCTACATTTAATACCAGTGGATACCAGTGAAACCAGAGGAATTGCTTTCCAGGATATTCCTGCTTTACATACTAGCCCTTGAGAGACTTTAAACTGCACTAGGTAAGTAAATAAATAAATAAATAAACCCATGTCATTTAGAAACTTAAGATAACAATATAATCTGCACTATTCTCTATTAGCAGATTTTCCTAAAGATGTTCTGAAATAACATTCCAGGGATATCAGACACTGCATTTTTGCCATAGTAAGCCAGTTTCATAAATGTGCTGGTATTACAACTGACTTGAAAGTTACGCAGTTCATTACTGGTACACAAGTATTTTCTACTTAAAATACCTTTATGTTGTAGTGATCTGACATAATGGACCCTAAATCGTTTTGATGAGTCATCAAGTCCACTGGACATTAAATCTTGAAAAACCTCAATAGTTCCAGCAGTAAGCAGCTTTTAGACAAAGCATATTCCTAATAAGAGGTATACTTAACACAGTAAAATAGGTAACTATACTAAATGCAAAAGGCAAACAAATATGAGGTGATCATCATGACTTCAGGTTCAAAATGCCTTCTATTAGGAAACAGGCACATTAGTGCACCTTGTGCTTCCATTGCCTTAGATGGTAATCATTGATGAGCAATAACGATTAAATTAGTATGAAAAAGGAGGCTAGAGTTACAAGATATCCTGGGTTTGCTTGTATATTTGGTCATGAGGAAGGAAAGGAAGGGGAGGGCAGACTAGTATCTTGTCTGGCTATACCACAGCTGGTGTTCTGCCTGTTTTCATATCATCAGTTGGCTGGCTGACCTATTCTGCTGACTGCTGCCTAGCCTCAGGATGAACTTACAGCCCAGCTGTGTAGACCTTGACTGACTTGTTGGTTTTGTCAACTGACATATTCCAGCATCCCACTGGTTTAATTGCCTCAGTTACCCTGAGCCACATTTCATAGGCATTAAGTACCTGCTCAAATAGAAAAATAAAATGGAGAAGTTGTCAGAGGCATGTGCAGGTGTGTGGGTATTTGCCAAATGGAATCTAGCAAGAGAGGGATCATGAACAGGAGGAGGATTCTCCATATTACATGCAAATAACATTCTTTAAAAATTTCTCAACCTGTGTCATCAGCTTTCTTCTTTGTGAACGCCTTACAAATTCAAAAAAACAACCTATGATTAAATTGAGGAATCAAATTCAAATATTAAATGAACAAAATAAAAGAAAATGCTTCCTAAAGTGAAATGTCTGTACAAAGGACTTTTCCAGAGTTTTGCTCTCTTGCCTGAAGAGGTTTTTTTTTAGGTAACAAGGTACCTAAAAGCCTCAAAATGAAAGAGTTCTGTAATAAAAATTAATAATAATTATACATACCCCTCCCCTTTGAAATATACTAAAACAATTTCAAACAACTTTGAGTATGACGTGTTTAATTAAAGACCTAAAATGAATTTTTGTTATCACCATGCCTTGATGTGGAATTGAGATAAGATTACTCAGAGGCCAGCTGGCAGGTCAGCAGTATTACGGTTACAAATTCGAGTCCTTGGTTCCTGACCCTGTGCTGGTTCCTGTAAGCACAGCCCCTTCAGCAGTACTCTCGGTAAGACTTCGGGGTCCAAGGTAGCTATTCAGCTGACATCTTGTTATGCTGTAAGCACTCTCAGTGCTATGAATGAAGCCTCAGGAAGAGCAAGCTGCTTCAAGCCATGGTTTTTCAAGTAAGCTGAAAGCCACCGCCTTGTTTCTCTCAGCCATTCGCCCTGTGCCTGTAAGCCCTGTGTATTTCCTTAAGCTTCTGCCCTTTGAGGACACTACTTACCGGCTTAGGGCTTATCGGGCCTGAGGCATTACTGACCGCTCCTGACAGGCCTCCGTCCCACCTGACCTTTTTCTAGAATTCTGAAAAGTTTGAAAGCAATTTAGAAGTAGATGACAAACCAGACAGTTCTGTGAAAGTTTACCTCACAATTTTGATATTACTGATGTTTCAATGTTGGGTTTTTTTGGACAGATCTTCCTACAGAAGTTTAAAAGTGCCTGAGATCTTATCATCAAAAGAGTTCATGTTTCTTACAATTTTAGTAACAGCATAAATCTACTGCAAACACTTATGCACCCATTTATATTACCAAATTCAACATGTGAGATGAAATGAAGATAACCAGTAGTTTAAAGATGCAATGTTTAAGCATGAATAGCTGGGTGTTCGTGCTCTGAAAACAAGCAGATGTTCAGAGGTACTTTTAATTCTTGAAGCATCAGTAGCAGCCTCTGAGATCACATTGAGTTTAAGGTTTTCTGTTGGTTTCAGCTGACTTTTAGCCAAACTTGGCATGTCTGTGTAAAATAAAAACTTACTTTATAGGAAAAAGAGTAATTTTATAGATAATGTTTTTCAATTTTTAAAAATTTCTTTGTTGTTATTTTGGTATAGTTTATGCATGGGTTTTATTGTGTTTGGAAAACACGGACTGTTGCAAGTTCTTCCTCTGTAAAAACTTCCTTGCTCATGGCTTTTAAAGTTACTGATACTTTCTACCTGCTGATTAAACTATTATTTCAAGGTCTGTTTTCATCCTACAGTGGTCATCACCTGCAGAAGCCATTGAACACTTCAAGTCTCAAGAAATATGGTTTGCCCCACCTCAATTCTATGAATTGTGTAGGCTGTGCAACTTCTCTTCACTCCATGAGTTACACAAGTTCAGCTCTGATCGAGCTCTAGAGGGATGTGAACAATGGATGCCTGTGGTGTTAACTGCTTCCGATGGCTACATTCATCTACTGCCAGGTAAGAAAACAGATGAAGGTTCTACTAAATGTATAAAATCTTGGGAATTGCTATGTACTCAAGCCACATGACATAAACCCTCTCTAAGTGTAAGGAAAATATTCTTTTAAGTTACTGCATGCATTTTCTACTGTTTGGCTTCCTTCTTTGATACAGTTGATAATAACTATTGACAGAGACAAGATACCCAGACAGACAGCATAGCTATTTCTGCATTTACTCATAATCTCATATGTTTCCTATTCATATGTTTATTTATGAAGAAATTCTAGCATTTCTGCTTATTTTTTTTTAATCTGAAGGAGGTATTAGAACTCCTCCTATTTAGTCCTTTTCAGTGAGAATTCTCATTACTTCAGTTAATTGTTTGTAAGGGCAAGTGGATCAAGTACAGCTGCAGCATCAGTCTTCACAACTGTAGTGATAGGACAGTCATCTAAAAAGATACACTAATTCATTTTCCTCCTGCTTTTTCTCCTACATAAGTCCTTCATTTCATAATCATGTACATTTTCACCTTCTCTTTAAGAAAAGCTGCATGTACTATTTATTATATCTGCTTCTTTAGTTTGCTTTTTGTTATGCTTTCTCCTTGTCACAACTGACCTCTCAAATGTCTGTATTTGTGGTATATTAGCACTCTTGCACAAGAGTAACATGCATTTATATGGCAAAACACTGTTTTTTTCTAATAGAACAAAATAGCAGTTTCTATTCTTAGTCCTACTGTAGCCTATCTTTATACATTTGGAAAAGTGTTTTTGTTCTCCACCTACTATATATGCTGATATCTGAGCAGGCTGTGATTATACCATGTTAGTATTATCAGGAACATGGGAACATTCAAATCAACACCTTGAATGTGTGATGCAGTGCCACTGACAGATATTTATGGCTATATCTTCAAATCGAAAGATATTTAGAGGCAATTTACTTTTGTATTGTGAAATGCATTCCCACTGAGTTTCATGTCCTGGTAAATACTGAAAAATTGCTAGTGTCACTCAATCAAAAGGCTGAAAAATAAGGTAGGCAATGTATAACTCAAACTTTTTTCTGCCCTCAGGAGATGAGTTATATCCAGAAGATCCAGATTATACAGGAGAAAAGAAAATAATCATGTCAACAGATAAGAAGGTTGAAGATATCATGAAAGAGGGTAGTGTATTTCACAGGATAGTAACAAAGAACATCAACAATCTTGCTGTCTATGTTAATATTCAACCAAAATATAAACATATGAATCCATTGATGATAAATTCTGATTGGGCAGGTTACAATAGCAGATTATAATATTTTTTGTTCAAAGCTAGAATATTTTTAATTACATACATAGTCAGTGTGGGTTTGGTCCTTTCTAACCATTGCCAAATAGTCAGGAAAATATTCCTTTGTCTTGCCAAATTGTTTTCTGTGTGCCATTTGAGATTTATGTGTACCTAATTCTTTGAGTCTTTGAAACAGTTATGTGAGTTACGATGTTCAGAGGCTACTGAAAAATTAACATAACCATCAATTTAATTACTGATTAACTTAAATGCAATTTGAAGGTAATTATACTGAGCCATTACCGCCTTATTCTGCTTACATACCAATTGAATATGCTGCAACATTGGTCTGTTGGGCTACACAGGTCCTTTTCTCACTGCAGATGTAAGTATATATATAATGTTCTGAACAAGTACATTTTGAGTTGAATTCTTTCACTATGCTTCCCAAAGTTATCCATTAGACACCTGTAATGTGTGTCTAGGAATGAATGAAATCTCCTGTTCTGTATCTGCTGACATCTCCCAGTCTATTCTCTTCCATTTTGGGGAAAACCAGTGCATATGTATATTCATTAGCCAATAATCACTTTAATTATTATATAAATATAATACAAATTATTATAAAGTTAGTGTTTATATTTGATGTACCTAAACTCTTTCCACTAATGGTAACCTATTCAAAATTTACTATTCTCAAAGATAGATGACTTTGTCTAATTTATCTGTATCAGACTGAGTGTATTCTCAACATTCTTTTTATTCATGATCATTTTTATCTTCAAGTTGTTAGCAATTTAAAAAATAGAAAAATACATTGTTTAGCTCCAAAAAGATACCAACAACTGCAGGGAATAATGTACTACCTTGGAAACACCCACTTCCATATTTTAACTTATCACATTTTGCTTTTCAACTACTTTACTAAATACGTCTGAGATTTAAGAACTTCAGAGGCAGGATTGCTTCTTGCTTTTTTGTTTCGGATTTGTTTGGTTGGTTTCATCTTTTTGTGCAATAAGTGGAGTAAATGAAGCAGTGATACACATTCTTTTTGCTCTTGAAGAAGAATGAATGATGACTTGAGATTAGCCAGTAAAGTTGTTCAGAAAGCTTCGTTCCAGCTTTTGTTCTGTATTTCAATTAAAATCTTATGCAATATTTTCATTAAACTGGTTTGTAGCATTTATTTGGATTGGAAAAAATCACATGTCTTTCCCTCTGAACATGCTCAGACTGTTCTTGGTTTTGTCGACCTTGCTGAAATTTGTAAACCTCTGCTAAACATGGATCATGTGAAGCAGTATATTATGTATAGTGTATATTATGCAGTATAGTTTCTCCTTCAGAATATTCTGGGCTAACTCTTCTGAACATGAAGACAACAGGAAGACTAAAATGGAGAGTGGAGGAAGCAAAGTAAGTACCCTGTATTGCTGTCTCACATAATTTTTAGCTTTTTGAGACTAACGCTGGTCACTGTAGTACTAGGAAGACAAGAGGGAAAGGCGTGCTATGGTCGTATTTGTGGAGTCTATAGTAAAAAATATCTTGACTTCAAAATTATTTAGTTATTTATTCATAATGGGCAAAATAAGTCATCATAAGTCAACATTGCTAGGTTGTTTTACACGTTACAATGAGACAATACACAAATCTAACAAGATACAGCATTGATAAAGATGTATTAGTTGGGTGTGGGAGTTAGGGTCTGGTGCTCAGAAGATATCGTGTTGTACGGGAAGATAAAACATAGGCAGACGGATGTGACGTCATAAACCCAGGGTATAAAAAGTGGTGTTATACAATAATAAACACCATTTGCCATCCATCACATTGATGTCTGTGTGCAGATGGACCGAGCGGCCTGGGGTTGGCCGCTGTGTTGCTTTTCCCTGAGCCAGGTCGTTAAGCATCATTAGGCAACAACTGATGTAGTCACACAGTCATAGAAGGCCACTAATTTAGTCACACACTATTTGCCCTCAGTGACACCATGTGGGCTGTCTCACATGCCTCAACATGGCTTCCAGGAGGATATGTTACATGAAGCACAGAGGTGAGGCTGACTGGTCTGTAGTCCCCACAGTTCTCCTTTTCACTCTTTTTTAAATTTTTAAAATGTCTTTCTCCAGTTGCTGGGGACTTTGTGTGACTGCCATGACTTTTCAAATACAGTGGACAGCAATTGCACGTGCAGTTATCTCAGGACCCTGGGATGCATCTCACGAAGTCTATGTTCAGATTCCTCAGATGGTCTTGAACTTGGTCTTCTACAACAAAAGAGACTTTCTTCCCTCAGTCCCTACCTTGAGGCTCAAGGGAGAGATGTGGGAAAAGTGACTGAGTGAAAACTGAGGCAAAAAAATTGTCAAGTACCTCCAGCCTTCTCTACATGGGTTGTCACTAAGATCTCCCATCTAATTTATCAGAGGGGTGGGGGACATACACTTTCTCAAGTCCTCCTTTTCTGACCAATATACCCGTTGCAGCTCTTATTATTCTTCACGTCCCTTGCCAAATTCAGCTCCAGCTGTGCCTTAGCCCTCCTGATCCCATTCCTATACACTCATCTACCATCCCTATCTCCTTCCCTTTGGATACACATTCCTGCTTCCAGTGCCTATGCACTTCTCTCTTGCATTTCAGTTTGACCAGAAGGGCCTTACTCAGCTATGCTGGTCTCCTGCCTTCCTTGTCTGATTTCTTCCACATGGAAATCATGAGCTTTTGTACTTCAAGAAAAACATCCTTAAAGAGCTGCCTGATCTCTTCTGCTCCTTTATCACCGAGGGCAGTTTCCAAGGGGCTCACATCCACTAGTTCCTTAACTAAAAGTTCACTCTCCTAAAATTCAGGTCTTCAATTTACTATTCATCTGGCTCATAACCCTCGAGATTCTAAATTCAAATATACAAAACAATAGATGTAAGAAAACACAAAAAATGAAGAAATTGTATTATCTGCAACGGTTTTGATTTTGCAGTATAGTCTTTCATAGTTGCTAGAGAGCTTCCTTCATGATTTTTTAATTGTTCGGTACTTTATGGTTGTTCTGCCAATCTACTTTTGTGGTAGAAAATAGCTATTAGAAAATATTTTCAGAGAATAAATTATTCAGTAACCTAGACACATCTTAGATTCTTACAGAATTTTTTTACACACCTGTGTGCTGTTTTATATTATGACTTTAATTCTAGTACAAGTTTTGCTGTGTGCCAAAAACCATTACTTCAACACTAAATCCATATCCTAAGTGTACAGTCTGCCTCTTCATCTTTGTTTCCTATTTTTTCCACAAAATGATCCAGTAGGGGGAGCTTGAAGGCCAAACGACAAAAAAAAATAACAAAAATACACTATTTTACATAGAAAGTTATGACAATCATTAAATGCAAGCATAAATGGCTTCCAATATATATACACGAAATATCTTTTAATATTAAGTTAAAAATATTACTAAAGCTGTACTTTCAAAATATTGAGCCACTCTTAAGTATGGGCTTCTGCCCAAAGAGGTCATCTCCACTTGCCAGTTGCATGTTTCAGCCCCTTCTCTTGGGCTGGCACCTTGACTATATGTAGCCTTGTGCAAAACTAAATCAGGCCTGAAACTTTTTTTTTTTTTTTTAAAGCCTCACTGCAAAGGGTAGTATACAACAAAGTGAATTAAAAAAGAAGGGGGAAAAAAAAAAGTAGCTGCTTTACCACAGAGCTTGAGATATGAGAGTGAACATTTTCTTAAAGGCCTAAATGCTATAGGACATCTACAACAGCCGTTGTCCCCTGTGGGAATGTATATTTTTAACATGTAATGGTTTGAAGAAGCATAGATGAACTCCAATAGGGAAACGCCAAGTGCCCTTCCTCCCCATCTACCGAATTATCACACACCTTTAAAGAATACACTCCACTTGAAACTTTGCAGCCTCTGCGAAAAACACGTGTCGTAGAAGCCTTGGCTGCTCACAGCGCGGGATGAGACCCTGCCTCGGGAAGACACTGCCACAGGAACAGCCCCCCCCCCGCGGCCTTCCAGCTGCTCCGCAGCCTTCCGGCCCGCCCCCTTCCCTCAGCCTGAGGGGCCACCAGTGCCGCACTGCGAGTCCTCGCCCCTCCGAGCCTGGGGCAGGAACGCAGCGAGGCAAGACTCTCACTTAAGGCTTATTTGCCACAACAACACATTTAAAAGTGTTAAGAATGCGCCGTTTCAGTGTTCTAATCCCGCTCCAATGACGCGCTCCCTCGTTCCCGCCAACAGCCCGACGTCCCCTGCGGGCCCTACGGCACCTGCGCAGTAAGCGTAACGCCTGACTGGAGTGTGCGGCCCGCGTACGCATGCGTACTGGGCGGAACCGCGCTTGCGCACTGGGGGCGGCTGTGGGGCGGGAGTGGTGCCTCGTCCTGGAAGTGTCCGAGCAGAGCTGTGGGAGGCTTGTGGCGGGCTCTGACTGCGTGCTGGCGGTCGTGACTAAGGTTAGAGGGGGTGGTTTTTATGATGAAGATCCTGAAGTGAAGGTGGATTATGAAGGAACTCGGGTAGGAGAGGGAATAAAGCAAAAAACATAGTTTCTGAAGTCTTTCAACTTTTATTGTGCTTTCCTTGTAGCCTATTCGAGTATGAGGAAAAGTTTATTGGTGGGGGTTTGTTGTGAGCTTTGGAGTTTTTATATGTGCTGCTTGAGGAAAATTGAGAAGTAAAGAGCTTTATGGCTTTACCCTTTACCTACTGTTTGGTTTAACCAGCTTGTTAGGAATTACTGCGGGGGGGGGCGGGTATTGTGGATTTGGTACTGTAAATTCGGTCTGTAAAGAACCCCCTAAGATAGTTTGAAGTTTTAGAAGGCAGGTGTTCTTTACTGCAGCACTGGATGCATGGGGGATTGTTCCACCTAACGTGCATGCTGAAAGATGAGAGCATGCTTATTATATACAATAAAAGAAGTGAACAGTTTTGTAATTTCTGAGAAGTACACGTCTATTTTCAGAGGATCTAATACATATGTTAATGTTGCGCAAGCATACTAAAATTTGGGGAAAGGCCTCTGAGAGGCTTCCATGGGGGTTTTCGGGGGGTCTGTGGTGGTCCCTAGTGGTTGTTGAAGACGTGTCTTAGTGTCCTTTCAATGAACTCTGAGGTTTTTTTCATACATAGCCTTGTCTTGGCTCATTGCTCTGTAAAGTTTTTCAGCTTTCTTATCTTCAACTACCACAGGTGTCTGTAGGTTTCTCAGCCCTTCCCTGGATGTACCCATCACAGTTGCAAAAATTATGTCCTTAGGTGCCTTCTTGTCTGAGGCCCCTTACAGCAATTAGCACCAACTGCTTGCAGGCAGCTTGGGGATTTCTGGGGCATTGGTCAGCAGGTGGTGAGCAACTGTATTGTGCATTAATTGGTTTGTATATTCTCTTACTATTTTCCCTTCTGTTTCTGTTGTATTAAACTGTCTTTATCTCAACCTGTGAATTTTACTCTTTCTCTTTTTTTTTTTTTTTTCCTCTGATTTTCTCCCCCATACCACTGGAGGAGGAGTGAGTGACCAGCTGTGTTTCCACTCCTGGGAGAGCTGATTAGATGTGGGTTTTTTAGAGGGAGAGAGGCTGGGATAGCAAGTGTTTTTCTTCTAGGAATGCTTGTATCAGGCTTGTGTGGCTGGGGAGGAATTATCTTTGCCTGTTATGTTAATGTTTTTCTTAACATAGCAGTTTGGGGTGAGGGATTTAGTGATCTATTGCATCTTCACATGGTAAATATCCTTACCGTTAGGTATGGGATTTGAGCAAACGTCTGTGTTTTCGTTTAGTTGCTAATAACAAAGAGTGTCTGTTGTTACTAGGAATGTATTAAAGAGAACTAGCCTTTTACATAGCTGTGCTTTATCCTTGATACTTTGACAGGTCATTTATTGGTTTTTGTGCTTCTCAAACTGAGAAATTAGGAGAGGTTATTTATGCCTCTCCCATGTTATTCCTGAAATAAAAGTATGTATTTTAAGTGTGTATTTTAAGGCAGTGCTATGTATCTCATGTTATAGTATAGCACAGTGCTAGAGACTTGAGTGTTATGTAAATAGTATGCTTGTATTATGATATTAGGTAAAACTTCTAAAAAATTCGGCTGTTTCATTGTAGTGTCTAAGTGGGAATAATTAGTACCATCTTTTAGCAAAGCATATTGATAGCTACAACCACAGGTTGTATTGCAGTTTCTTATTCAGTGCTGACTTGTTCAACACTGGCTTTTGAAGTGAGAGGCTAGTGTCTTGACTTTCCACTCCCCAAACTTTTTACTAGGCACCTACTTCCAGTGTGAATTCTTTTAAGTGATAAGGTGGATACTGCAGTGATGATACTGTGAGATGTGCTGGTTTGTGTCAAAATGACATGCAAATTACTTCAGTCTATAGGCAGTTTATTATTCCATTGTAATTCCTAGGTATGATAGGTACTATTGCAGATGAATGTAATGTGAAATACCAGTAAAAATCTCTTATGTTAAAATTGTTTCCTAAGGTTGGGACTCCTCTTTTGTGTTACATTGTTTTGTTTGTATTAATGATGTATTTCCCTCTGGTGTTTCTGTCCATGTGGTTATATAGATTATAGCAGCCCTTGTCTTCCATCGGCCTATTTCTGTTGGCCTCTGAATGTAAGATAAGCAGCTATATACTATAATAGGTTGAGGATAACAGATGTGTTTTGGTCTACTAAAAACTGATGTGGTTGTGTATAAATACATGTGGATGGTAAATCTTAATTAGGCTTTAGCACAGTACTTCATTAAGAAGGCTGGTTTGAACCTTTTGATATGTGTAAATCAGTTGCCTAGACATTATAATACTCCTGAGACTAGTATCAAAAACCTATAGGCTTGCTTTTAGGTGTATGCTTTTTAAATAGGCTTCAAAATAAATGATGGCTTTAAAAATGGTTAATCAAATGTGTGCTATTCTTTTACAGTAATGCTGAGGAAGACTGGGTGAGAAACATGGAAGTCTTGGTATTAAAGGTATGCTGGTATTTTTTTAATATGTAAGGGATTGCTGTTTGTTTATTTCAATGCAACTCTGGAAGTCAGACTTGCAAATAAAATAATGTCTGTATTTCCATTCGGCAGCACTTTCTTACACGTGTGGGCTCATATATGGATTATATACAGTTTGTTTCTTTTAGGTGTTTATATTGGTTTTGTCTCAAGAGGTCAGTAGGGATGCAGCTAAAACCTAAAATGAAAGATGTGCAATATGTTAAATACACTGTAGTATAGTACTAGGTTCTACTGAATTCCACAACAGGTCATGGAAAAATCATTTTCCTGTAAAGCTGTCCTGGCAGCAGACCCAGGGGTATTCCTTACTGTATGATGTCATGCTCAGCTATAAAAGCTGTGGGGAAGGAGGAGGAAAGGGGGGGGGAACTCCTATGATTATCAAATTTGTGTTCCTAAGTTAGTGTTACATGTGATGAAGCCTCGTTTTCCTGGAAATGTCTCGACATCTGCCTACCAACGGGGAACAGTGAATGCAGTTCTTATTTTGCTTTGCATGTGTCTGCTGCTTTTGCTTTACCTGTTCAGCTGGTTTTATATCAATCCATGAGTTTTCTCACTTTCATTCACTCTTCCAATTCTCTTAGTCATCCTGCTTCAGGAGAGGGACAGAACAGCTGTGGTGTTTAGCTGGTTATTTGGTTTAACCCACAATAACCGGGGACCCAGATCAGGTGAAAGATTGGGATATAAAGGTTTACAGAGGCTGAGCAGAAAGCTGTGACCCTGTTTTAATGAAACTGACTGTCTGGTAGTCTTTCTGAGCATGAAGAAAAGTATATTTATGGGGTTTCTTGTGTGTTTTGGGTTTTTTATACATACTTCTTGAGGACAATATGGAAGTAAAAAGCTTTATGTCTTTGTACTTTGCCCACTGTTTGGTTTAACCACTACTACCTTTGAGGCTGCATTTGCTGTTAATTGCAGTGCTAAAGAAACTTGCAAGCTGAGAAGTCATGTAATGAACTAATGGTCTGAAGTTGAAAGATGTTTTCACTGTTGACATTCTGGGTGCTAAGTATCCAGTCCCCATAATTTTTAAGGTGCCTCACTAAAGATTAAGTTTTATTTTTACATTTATCTGCTCAGATGGTCTTAAAAACATCCTGTCATTTTAGCAGAGGCTAATATTATTTGTTATTGTTATCTAGATTCTGTTCCAGAGTTGTTAGATATTGTTATCTATATCTGTTCCAGATTGAAGATCCAGGTTGCTTTTGGGTTACTATGAAAGGATGTGGGCCTTACATAATCGATGAAGTAGAATATACAAACCTGAATGCTGAAATGAATCAGTTCTATGACAAATCTTACAAAGATGTGGATGAAGTTAAACCACTAATGGTAGAAGAAGGCCAGGTAAAGTTGTTGCTGTGTTGTGTAGATAGAAATAGTCTGTTTTTTGCATTGTTTTGGGGTTGAGGTATCTTAAGATATGCATATGGGTTTTATCTTCTTATCTCTAAGCTTCATAACTACATATGCTGCAGTACTTGCATTTTGTGAAGAAAATTGAGGGCTGTATAATAAATACTATATTCTTGCCTCAAAAAAAAAAGATTTGAGTGTAATTCACTGCATTTACAAGAACCTGCTGCCTTGTTCTTTCTTTTTCAGATTTGTGTGGTTTTCAGTGAGGAACTCAAATGCTGGTGTAGAGCAGTTATTAAGTCAATCATGTACTATATGGATCATTATCAAACAGAATGTTTTCTTGTGGATTATGCCAAAAACATTTTTGTTAAAACAAAGGAGTAAGTATTTGGATTTTTTTGACACTCACTGAAATGTAGGTGTAAGTGCATACAATTACTATTAATATTTATTTACATTGATAGTGCCAAGGCTTTGATTTAATTGAGGTTTGAGTTGGGTCCACAAGAAACTGCTAGCCATATGATAGGCTCTTGCAAGGGTTTATGCAAACCAATCTTTATTTTGTGAATTTTTAGAGATGCTTTCTGTTGTAGGTTTTGGGGTTTTAAAGGTTTGAAATTCAAATAATGGCAGTTTGTTATAACTGAAATGTATGATTGCCATACATTTATATATATTGATGTTATTTATATACATTCCTCCCTTATTAAGTAATTATATATTAAAAAAATATAATGAGTGAAGATCATTCACAAAGTATGCTGAACCTGCTTTTGACATCTAGACACAAATATGTGGGGGTTTTCCCACTGCAGTTTACTAGCTTGTTTGCTTTAAGAGCTGAAGGTCTGTCTCAGCACGGTGCAAAAAAGTGAGTTTTTACAGGTTCCCAGTTTTTAATAAAAACAATATGAAACCTACTGATTCTAAAATCTTGAAGAGTGTGTTTTAAAAAATAACTGTTCCAATTCTTAGCTAGATTTAAAGTTAACTTCTCAAATAAAATATGCAACTTTTGAGTATAAGAAGCTTTACCAAATATTTTTTGCAGTACTCCACAAAATTAAGATAGCTTATGTAAAATATTTTAAAATAAACCTCAAGTTAAATAATGTTTTTAAATTGAATGTTCTTGTATTGGAAAGCAGATCAACAATATCTTGAGTTTAAAATATGTTTCAACTAGAATTAAATGTGTGATTTACTGCTTTCTCATTTCAAAATAAAAATTTGAACAAAAGTGATAAATATATGAGTCTTAAAAGCTTTCGTATATGGTGTCTTGCTAGTTATTAAGTCTCCAACCAAACCAAGTGTAAAGGATAAGATTAACACTCTAGTGGTAGCTTTATTAAAAAATATATATTTTTAGGAAAATAAGTGCAAGTGCAAATTAGCGTAGTTCTTAGATTTTCTTCTCCCTAATGTTAATCCTACCTGATTTCTCACACAGAATTAATAATTACAAAATGGAGTATGCAGTGACAGGTGGTATATGGTAGTATAAGGGCTAAATATTATGAAAAGACTTCAGACTGTAGTGGCAAAGGATCAGAAAGATTTCAAGTAAATAGGAGGTGTATTCATATCTGGAGTGAATCTGTTCACTAGTTGCTCCTGGCAGCACCTCTTAGAGAAAAATAAAACGGTGATTCAAGGGTGTTTCACAGTGGGACCCAAACTTCTGGAAGAACTGTGTTGTCAGATACAGGGTAACAGAAAGATGTATGATACCAGTGACCTCTGGAGAATAATTGCATTTCACAGAGCAGATTTTTTCTGCTTTATTTTTAAGCATTCGAGTTGCACTGGAAGCATTTATGCAGATCCCATATAGAGCAAAAAAGTGTAGACTGTATCGCACAAAGCCAGTGACCTTACACATCGACTTCTGTGAAAACACTGCAAAGATAGTGTAAGTAGAGTTTAATAAATGTATTCTAATCATAAATTTCCTAAGTGTGAACTTTTATCGCAGAAGGTTTTTTTAGAAGAGATGATGTTTCAAGAAGAACCTAGAAAAACAGATTTGGAAAACAATCTCTATTTCAGAGGAACAGTTCTTAAATGGAACTGCATCCTTAATGATTCTTTGTTAATGATTCTGGTTTTAATATTCACATGTTTGAATCTTTTGATATTTATTTAAAAACCTTTGGGAATTTAGAAAGGTTTCTGGGAGTTCTTGCATTTTGTCTGTCATCCCAGAGCTGCGTTTCTTGATTCCTAGCACATGAACTGCTTTACTAATCTGTCCTTATGTGCTTTTTCTTGCAGATGCTTATCTTACTCCTGATACTCTTCTTTTTTTTTCTTTTTTTTTTTCTGGTAGTTACGTGCTTAGCTGAACTGAAGTTCTATAACTGTTTCTTGACACTGTTTGGATTCCTGTTGTGCTTTCCTTATATTCATGTAGTTGGTTTTTTTTTCTCATTGCAGTATTAAAAGACTTGAGTAAGGTTTTCAGTGGGGTCTGATGGTAAAGAAAAATGCTTCTGTATCCTTGAGTTCCAGGATGCTATTGTCAAAGATCCTGCCAACTTGACAGGGACATGATTAGATCAATGGGGAACACAGCCCACAGCAGGAAGCTACTTTGATTTGTGTCATTAAAGAATATTCAAAACTACGTGCAGTCAGCAGTATATATATTTTTTTTAATACTCTTGTTTGGAATAAGTATTTGACTTCCAGTATTCTGACAGAACAAATAGTAGCATGGTTTGGGTAGGAATAGTGTACATCTTGAGTGGGCCATCGTTGTGAACTATCAAAATAGAAGTAGATGGTCAGATTTTGTTTCCAATGCTCTTCATTTTATTTTTAAATTTATTTTATACTTAAAGTTGCAGAACATGGTAAAGAGTGAACTTTCTGCTACAGACCTTTCAGCCTTTAACACTTCAGTGTTTAAGTGCTTGTTCAGAAATTGCTCAATACCTATTTAATAAATGTTCTGTAAGAAGGTTCTTGTTTTATTTTTGTTTCTGGTTCATTTCTGTCATATTTTATGTTGGATGTAAGTCATCATACCGTGACAAAGCAATATCCAGTAATTTTGGATCAGTTTTATTGATGAGCTGAAACAATATTATCAAGACTGAAGTTATATTCGAAGTAGAGATTCTGCTAATGTGTCTAGTTGGTGAACTTTTAAGATTTGACATGACTTGAAATAATTTCTTTACATGCATCCAATTTTTTTTCCAAAATTAACAGTTTAATTCTTGATGATGTGGGATAACTGGTTGTGTTTATTTTCCTAGACCAGCCAAAAGATGGGATAGTGCTGCTACTCAGTATTTTCAAAACCTTCTCAAAGGTAAATAAAACATCCTGCCAAAATCATACTTGACACTTCTATTTTGGGAAAAACAAACTTAGAAGGTAGTACTTCTGTATATGTATTTGATTCTATTTGAGAATGTGGTATTTTAAAGAGAAGGGAGCTATATAAGATTTTTGTATAGATCAGCTAAGGCAAAACTAATTGTGGAGCTGCATTTTGAGTAATGTGGGCTTCCATGCAGCATCAATTTTTATAGTTGACTAGATGGTGTCTAGCTCTTGGACAAACTAAATAAAGTAGCAGTCATGTAACATTTGTTTTGAACAGTGGAGACTTTCTGTGTGTTTAGCTTAAATCTTTGAATGAGCACCACAACTGTCTTTTTGGAGTTTTGTACAGAGATGGCAAGATCTGGCTTCTGAGTTTACCCTTTCAGTTGTTCTTTGACAAGGATATAAGCACCAGCTCAGAAGAGGAATATCTTTATTACAGTTGTTAGGAGGTAGATTGAGCTCCGAGTAATTATTTAGTAAGCTAGATTCCAGTCTGTTCTTGTCCTTTTCTATGTTTGGTGTTTCAGTAGGTCATCCAGTCTTTTTTGTATCAGGTCTTTCTATTTTGGTATGATACAGATTTTGGTCTTACTAGAAAAGCAGCTTTTTACTGAGATTTTCTAGTCGTCTTGATTACATTCTTCTACCTGAAAAACTACCTACTTGCTTACAAGTATAACACTCCATGTGAAAGGTATGTGGGGGAGAAAGTATGAGTTTATGAAAGCAATAAAGGGTCTTTAGACTGATAATTTCACACACTTAACTGGCACATAGCAGTGCACGATTTACTTTTTGTTCCCACACATCTAAGTTCTACATGCTTTCCTACTGGCACATCATCAGTGTGTGCAGAAGTGCTTCAGAATTTTCTGACAGACTTTATCAGCTATGTTTGCTTGAACACAGAGCCTAACCAAGCTATACAAATGTGCAAATAAAACTTTCAAGAAAAGTAAATGTCAAGTTTGGAAAGTATGCATTTATACTACAGATTGTCAGAGGCTGAAAGATAAGCTAAGACTTTAGGTGTACAACTAAGACTAGTTTGTGTAATTAATCTGTTTTGGCTCTCAATCTTCCTTAAAGACTAAGGACAAGGTAATTATCGTAATGAAGTCTTTATTCTCTTGTTACTTTCTTATTTCATTTAAAGGTTACTACATTTGTTCTAGCAATCTATAAAGAGACAGGTTACCAATTGTGATTTCTACTTTTGTCTATCTTGAAAAGTACAAGTGAAAAATAATGATAATTTGATAAGGGTTTAATCTTTTTTTTGTGTGTATTACTACATTTAGCAGCTACCCAAATTAAAGCCAAGTTATGTGCTGTAGAAGATAACACATTTGATGTTTTTCTTTATGGGACAATAAAAGATGAAAAGGTAAGATACTTTTATATCTATAAGCCTGTTCATGCACTTTGCTGTGCAGGTTACAACTTTGCGATTAGTTTAATGTTGAAAAGCATTACTTGTGAGTTTTTTTATTTCTGTCAGATACAGTAGATGCTAAATCCTTAAAATAGAGGTTTTATTTTATAATTCTGTTGCTTATAAACTTCTGGAGGAATTCCAAGAGGCAGAAATCCCATTTTTCTTAGAGAACCTCTTTTTAGAAGATACTGACACACAAGTGAAGTCCAGCAAATACTTCAGTTGGACTACTATGTGAATTATTTAGTGTGCTTTTGCACTTTTTTGTGGTATCATACTTAAAGATGTTTCAATAAGGTGGTTGCATAGTATTATAAAAACAAGCAGAAGTTCACACTTGCTTTTGCATAAGACTGAGTCTTCAAACCTTTGGAAAAAAAAAAAAAACTAAACAAACTGCTAGTTCCACTTGCCAAAATATGTAACTTGCACTAAATCTCTGCTGTAGCTACTGCCAGACTTCAGCAGCTGTATGGCAAATACCAATTAATTTATTTGAATACGGCTTCTACTTGGAGTGTTTTTACCAAGACTTTTAACTCTGGAGCTGTGTTCTTCATCATAGACAGTACCTTTGAAGGTACATAATAGTTTTTATATCTTCTCTCAGTTCAGAATCCCCATTTGGCAATAGTGCCACTGATCTCTGAGCTGATGGAGTTAAAGAAGCTTTAGGTTAAGTATTAATTTTTTTCTGCCAGATTTTGATGCATGCTGAGTCAAAAAGAGATAAACCAGCTTGGTTTACTGACAGGTTTTTTTTAATTTTTAGGGTTTATAGAAAAAGTACAGGAAGTACAGAATTTTAGACAGAAGCACACAACTGAGAACTAATTAACACCTGTTTAGGGAACATACAGGAAGATATGACCGACTTCTGTATTCTGTGGCTAATATTCTTCAGAAAACATTTGCTGATACTGTTTATGTCTTTGCTGTTGTTTAGAGTTTCAAATAAATTCTAAGCAAGTATGTGGTAGCAATTGCTTGTTCATACTGGTCAACAAAGATCTTGGTTTTTTAGGTATGCATTAATGATGATCTTGTTTCAAAGAACTTTGCTTGTTTTGAGGAAACTAAAGAGAATACAGGGAGTTCTGCAGATTATCAGGAGAACCTAACGTCATTAAGTGTTGAGTCTCTTCCAGTGAAAACTGTTAATCCTGCACTTGCTTTCAGGCCAGTGCTATTTCAAGAGAAGGTATCAACAGATCTTGAAACAGGTGGGAATTGTATATGTCAGAAACAATTGTATGTGCAATGCATCATGTGTCTTTAACTGGATATATTGAATGTGAATCTACTGTCTCAGTAGATCAGATGGTATCCTCCTAACAAACGATGCTTACGTATCAGACTTTACAAAGACCAAGCAAGTCATCAAATGCGGGACTACTGTGAAGCTTTTTGTACTGTGTAAGAAAAAGGAAGGCTTGAGGTTGAGTTACATTGGCTGATGTGCCTAATGGCATTAGATATTATTGAAATTATTTGTGACATTGGTCATTGATGCATTACTGGGTTTTTTTGAGTTTGGAGGGATTTATTTGAACAGAGGGAATTTTAAACTAGTATTTACCATGAGTTGTCTCATTTATAGTGATACAAGTCTGTCTTTTAGAAAAATATGCAACTTTCCATCCTCTATCCTTGTTCACTCAACTTATCTGCATAGTTACCTTTTAAAGATAACTGCTCTTTTTGTTGTTCTTTCTGCCATTAGGAAGCAGACTAAACTAGTCAGTCACAACCCACTGTAAATAAGAATACTGGCATTTTATGTGTTCAGATAATCAGAAATGTGTTTCTGCAATTTTTCTTACCTTTCTAGGTCTTCCTGTTTCCAGTTTCTTTCTTAAAGAGACATACCAAAGGTCATGTACACATCTCAGTGGAAGTACTGCATCTGTAAGTGTTTATATTTTGTATTAAATTGTCAAAGGTGAACAAAAACATACATAGGACAAATTAGGAATACTGTAGTCATCTAGCTTGTCCTTCTATATAACAGATCTGGGGTCTGCACTAATTATTTATATATTTTAAAAAGAACATTGTACTTCAGTTCCTTTTTTTAAATTGCAGAAAATTTTTTTAAAAATACTACAGTCCTTTAAAAGGTTGTGCCTCCTTTTGCACTCTTTTTCTATAGATGTATGAAGATGATAGCTGTCTACACTATGCAGTTTTCTGAACATATACAAATGTAAATTTCAATGTTTCCCTGAAAACAAAATAGACTTTACGCTGTACTGTGGTAAACATTGGAGTCTCATTTGTTGAGTCATCTAGCATTTTAAATGTCTAATCTGGCTTCTTGCTATTTTCTTTTTTTGCTTGCTGTTCTTTTCTGAAGCATTTTTCAAAAGGTCAGCACTCATTCTTGAGTATTAAATTGTGTACTGAATTCCACTGCTGGAGCTATTACAATGTCCATGAGAGGAAAGGAAAACAAACTGAAAGATTCTAGGCAAATAATCACTGTTGAGTGATTCTAGCCACTGCAACAAGACTCACTGCAGGCCAAAATTGAGCCAACCAGCAAAGTTGGTGGTGACTCTGTGAAACCATATTTTTAAAAGGGGAAAAAATATGCAGGAGAGGGAACAAAAAAACAGTGAGAAGCAGAGGCAAGGCCAAGCTCTGTGTACCTGAAGGGACTGCAGTCTGTGGAGGACCCACACTGGAGCAGAAGGAAGGAGTAAGAGAGAAACTGCCATGTTCTGACTGCAGGCCCTGCCTTGTGCTGCTCCTTGCCTCAGTGGTGTGGCTGTGTGTAACCTGCATTGATAAGGCAGAGGAGAGCAGCTTGGAGTGAAGTTGGAGCCTGGGAATGGGGGAGGAAAAGTGTTTTCCTGAAGTGTGTAAATGTTTGTTTCTTTTAGTTTCCCAGTAACCAAACCCAGTACTCATATATTGGCAACAAATTAACCTAACCTGAAGTTGAATCTGATTTGTCTGCATCAGTAATTGTTAGGTAACAACCCTGTCTCTATTTCAACCCATTAATCTTCTTGCTCACTCTCCCTGATTTTTTCTCCTCCGTGGAGAGAAAACCTGTCTTTCCCCCAGAAGGGGAGAGTGAGTGAGCAAGTGGCTCTGGGTGCTTGGCTATGAGCTGAAGTCAACCCACTACAGCAAATTTTACTAGTCATCTTTTTTTTGATTGTTACAGCTGAATGCTAGCTGTAAGGAGTGTTTAGGAGTGTTTTTCACCACCGGTCTGTGTAACTTAACAGCACGTATGAGTTATAATTAAAATGTATTGACAATTATTTTGGCTATTTCTTATCAAAATAACATTTTTTAAAAATACAATAAATGATTTTGAGTCTTAGGTAAGCTAAAACCCTTTTAAGTATTGCCTGTGTCATATGGTTTCAGAATTCTCAAAATCTTGGTGAAGAAAGAAACTTTGTCTTTCTTAGCAACAAAATCGAGCCATCATCAGTTCTGGAAACAGCACCACTTTTTGATAATCTGAAAAAGGTAATGCTAATGTAATACATTACATTAAATATCTTTATAAGGCTAGTATCATACCTCAACTTTGGATGCTAAATATTATAATCATACCTAATTTCGATTGAGGAGTGTCTAGGAGGTTATTTATGTGATTGAACAAGCAAAAGCTTCAGAGAGGTGCTGTAAGAATTGTGCACGTTTCTGGTGTATCAACCACTGCACCGTCACCTGGATTTGAATTTCAATACAGTAATATAACTCCTCCTCAGCTCAGAAAATTTTGTTCGTGTTGCATGTAAGGGTCTAAAGCTTTTGAATTGCTCAGTGTTGTGTTTCATCTTGTTTTGTTGGTTTTTAAGTACACAGTTTTCATGTGGAACTATTAATTTCTCTTTCTGCAGGAACTTACTCAGAAAAAACATTTAGGCCCTAACTTCGCAGAGTCATACTGTTGGCCACCAATAGCTCAAGGCTGTGATGTAGTTGCCATCTCGGATCACGGAAATGATCCGTTCTTATATATTCCACCGATTCTTACACTTTTGCAGTTGGGAAGTTGCTACAAAGCCTTGCCAAACATCAGTGGGGTATGTATATATTAGAGTAGTAACAGGTTTTCTGTTCTAATGTGCCGATGTAGAATAATGATCCAAAAGATAGCAGATGTTTAGAATGTGTTCATTTAATGGGATCTTAGTGTATCCTCATGATACAAGCTTTTTGCTTAGAGGCTTACGGAGATGGAATGCATCCATGTGGGAGTCGAACTTATGTATCAAGTAATATCTAACAAGTGGTTAGTATCATATCACTTTGATACATGATGAAGCTTTGTTTTTGCAGAGATAGAATGTAATTAAATTAAAATTTTTATTAGCTTTTAAATATTGTAATTAATTTTCTAACGTATCAGAATTACTAAGGTTGTAAGGCACCTCTGGAAATTTCTTATTACAACCCCAAGTAAGACAGTTTGCTCCCACTTCTGTAAATTTTTGGATCTTTTACTGTATATTGCTGCATATCCTTTTTGTCTCCAGGTAACCTGGTGTGTGGTTTCTTGGGGCTGTAACACCTGCATTTAGGAGGTGATACATTACTAATCTTCAGCTTTGAAGTACTTAAAGGCCTGTGTTGCAGATCTTGGTTTTGCTTTAAATGCTGAAATAGTAAAATTCTTAAGATTCTGAACTCTTTGTCTAATACTACAGTGTAAAATTTTGTATATTTGTATGTAGCCACTAGCTCTTATTTTGTGTCCTGGGTGGAAGAAGGCACAGCTTGTTTTTGAGCTACTACAAACATACGAGAGGTGCTGCAGGCAGCTTCATCCAATGTTGATAATACTTGGGCAGAAAAGAGAAGCAGCTTTAAGTGTGAAAATCCGAGAATGTAAGAATACTTTCTGTCTTCTTAATTATGCTTGAAAATGTGCACTGCCTTAATTGCAGGAGATTGTGAAGGAAGCAATTTATACTTCATTTTTGTTCTACAAAGTGATAATTTTATTTCTTTAATGCTATAACTGTAGTGATACATGAACCTTCAGTAGTGGTATTTAATGGTAAATGGTATGAAAGTTTTTTTTAATATCTGCATATTCAGCATCTTTTAATGTAAATTCCCTAACAGTTTTATTTTTGAGCCAAATTAGTGGTAGGGATTTGCTGAAGATCATGCTGAATTAGGATTAATTGTGGACTTTCTTGATTTAGAACTAGATTTTATAATAGGGGTGGTTTTGGTACACGAGCATCCATTGTTAGACGGAGGTACTGGGTCTGTTAGGGATGGAATTAATTCTCTTCACAGTCTGGTGGTGTGTTTCAGATTTGTAACTGGGAACAGTGTGGATAACACACCAGTGTTTTGGCTCTTGCTGAGCAACACTTACATGGCATCAAGAATTCTCTTTTCCCTGTCTGCTGCCCAGTGAATAGGCCAGGGGTGGGCGAGAAGCTGGGAGGGGACACAGCCTGGACAGCTGACTCAACCTGATCAAAGGGATACACAGTGCTGTGTAATATCATGCTCAACAATAAACACTTGAGGGATGGGGATGACCTGATAAGTGGCTGGGCATCTGTCTGCTTGTAGGATGTTGTTAGTGGTTGTCTTAGTGTAGCTTCTACCTCATCCCTCCTTCACTTTTCTTGACCCATGAGTTTTCTCACTTTGGCAGTTCCTGTTCTCTCCCATGTCCCACTGGTGGTGAAGGGAGTGAGTGAGCTTAGTTGCTGGCCACAGTCAGCCCACCACAGTAATGCATATGTTCTTAAAAAATATTTTTAATGAATATGTGTTTCAAGTACCTGATTTTTATTTTTTAAAATTGACAGATGTTTGGGGGACATGTCTGATGCTGCTTTACGGTTTATATACACTTAAAACAATTCTCTTAATTTAAAAAGAATATTGGAAAAGTGAAGGATTAAAAAGGAGGTAATAGTTCTCTGGAGACTATGTTGCATAAATGTCCTACGCTAAATTTTAGCTTGAAGCTTGGGTGTATGGGTTTTTTAAATTATGATTTCAAACTTGCCTATTGCAGTGATTTTATTATGATTTCAAACTTGCCTAAATTCTATTTATTATGATTTCAAACTTGCCTATTTATTATGATTTCAAACTTGCCTAAATTCTAAGTAATTTGTGCATTTAAATTCAGTACTGTGCAGGGGATACTCCATAGAGAAGTAGTATAAGAACTGTGGGGAGACTTGCCTCTACTTAAGTAAAACACTTAATTTTCCTTTTCTTCTTTGGGCTTTTTGTTAAGCCTTAATCGTTAACTGCATTTTTAAAAGTGACTTTTTGCTAAGGAAACATGAAATATGGATAAGTCTATGAAGGACTGTGTAAAACTTCCAGTGTCAACAGTTCGTATTACATCCATCATTCAAGTGTAAGAACCTGGTGGATGAAATCGGATATTCTGTGAGAACTCTTGGTATATTTGCACAGATTAAGATCATTGTGGTTTTATTTTCATACATATATACATACACACACATATATGTGTGTAGATATCTAAGCTACAATGTCTGCTTTATTCCGTTTTTTAAAACTGAACTTTTCTAAAGGCTGCTCTTGCATGTATTTAATTGTTTACCTTCTGTTTCTGAAGTTCTTATCTCTACTTCCATTAATTTATTGGAAAACAAAATGGCATCCTGCTTTTTGAACTTGTTCGCGTTCAGACTTTTCAGTCTTTCTTTCAAAAACGCAGTTTTACTCAGATCTTGATGACATGCAGAGATAGACAAACACAAGTAAACTAAAAATGACTCTTGACCAGAAGTCAGGAAATTGAGTTATTTTAAAGAAAACACCAAAAAAAACCCCAAACCACCCAAAATCAACAAACCCCCCATCTTAAAGATGATGCATCTGAACTGCAAATGTGGCCTTTTTAATAAACCGTGTCCTGTGATGTCTCATTAATATTCTTACCAGTTGTGAGCTAACGTTAACAATCTTTTCTTCCTACTTGTAGGTGAAGTAATTGTGACTACGCCATATAGCCTCCTGAGACTGTTTGAACATCACAGTTTATTATTTTGTAGACTTTGCCACCTTGTTCTTGATGAGGTTGAGGTACTGTTCTCTGATGCTGCTGAACAGGTAAATGGCTTTAATACATTCAGCTGGTAAAATGCTGTTCCAGTTGTGCACATCTCAAAAACAGTGGCACATACTGAAAAAAAACAACCTTCCTGAACCCTTGTGGGAGAGTTGAAAAGAAAACAGAGATTTAAAAAAATCACATCTGCGTACTTCTGGCAGACGGAAACACTGGAAAAATGGAGTTGTAATCTATTAAATCTGATTTCCCCTGCTTTTTTTTTTTTTAATCGGAGAGCTCTGTTTTGTCCTGTTTTACTCTACTGCTCCATTATGCTGCTTCCTTTGTGAATGTTTTCTCAAGGACTTGTATTTTTTTCAACTTCGTAGCAAAAGTTTCAGTGTAGGGATCTTTAATCAGCTTTAAAGACCTGAATCATCTGTCTGTGAGGAACCTCCTTTTCCCCCTTGCCAGTGCTTCAGTTCAAGAAGCAGCTTGATTGGTAAACTCCTCAGTCTCTGTAGAATGAAAGGCACAATGAATGATCATATAGTTAGGAAAACAATCATAAAAACTATCCTTGGGCCTTAATGTCAGTGCAGGCAAAAGGAGAAGCTGATCCCAACTCAGAGTATCTTGTAAGAACATCATTAAGTTTCATGTTGACAAGGATGTATATATGTTGTATCAGTTTTAAAATGATGATTTACAACTCAAGTTTTAGTAAATTCCATATTTTTTATTGCTGCTTTGAGGCTTCTTAGGACAGATGCTCTCTGTTAGTATTACAATGTGTTCCATCATCATCATGCAAAATATGCCCTACATATTCTTTCACTGTCATAGGGTTTTTTTTAAATCATTAACATTACCTGTTTAAATGTTGGTGATAAGACTAAAAGGCCATGTTTCTAACTATGAAAAGAAACATCTTAATGGAGATAGATTGCCTGAGTTGTTGTATGTGAAGCTCTTAAATGTACCTTTGTAGCACCAAATCTCAAGACATCAATTGGGTGAAATGTCATCCTTATCCAGTGGGGCATTCCTTCTTTCTGTTTAGGCTGTTCTTTCTGTTGTCTTCTTGTACTTCTTGAGACAGAGTGCAGGTATACTGTATACAGATTGTGGCAATACTGTGCATGTATCTGCTATTTTTGTAGGATCTTCTCAGCTTCTCAAAAGTATCAGTCTTTAATAGAAAAAAGAAGAGGTGCTATTTCAGATAGAAATGATCATTTGATAATGTTTGGATTATTGCAGCTCTTCTAAAGCATGTGTTACAGAAATGGTACGTTGTTAAAACACTGCTGCAATGGGCAACTTCAGTTTCAGGTTGAGAGAGATCTTAGAATTGTGGCAGAGCCCTAGCATACTTCTTAGTATGGTAGTGCTTTGCCAGAAATCCTGATGTCATTCCACAACTAGGCTGCTTGTTGCTTATGTAAGGTGATGTCATCAGGAGTATATTCATTCTGTCTTAGTGATTTTTAGGGTTTTTGTAACTGATTTTGTAGCACACACATCCCCTTTCTTCTTTTGGCAAATTAGTATATTGGGCAGGTTGGATTTATCTTCCACTTACCTCTTAATTTTTACTGACTGCCTGTGACCTCTTGGATCTGCTTTTGTCTAGGCTTAATATTTTTCAGATTTGAACAGATAGTTTTCCTGAGATTTCCATCCTTGGCAGAATCCTGCATTGTGATCCTGTGTGTGCACATGCTGTTCCTTCATGTTGTCCTGTCGCTTTCTTCTTTCTTCAGAGGTCGTTCAAATAATAGGATAAAAGTGTACAACCCAAATGCTTAATTTTAGGATGTGAAATGTGTGTTTTATTGTGATGGTGTTTTTGTGACTGGAAGAAGCTATGTGCTCAAACTGTACTTTTCACTGCTGTTACATACTCACTGGAATAGTTTAAGGGGATAGAAAAACTTTTTTTCTTTGTAGGTTTTTACTATATTAGATTGTTACAAGAAAGACATTAGTGAAGACTATTCAGTGCATCAGATCATTGCTGTTGGAGCCCGTTGGAATAAACATATAGCACGCTTGATAAAGGAGTTCATGAATGGTCCTTACATAGTGATAACAACTATAGAAGAAGCTTCCATCTATGGAAATGTGCAACAGGTAAAAATTTGGGGGTGATACCACTATTTGTTTACTAAGATATTTTGTTGTTTGTACTGATCAAGGTCGGTATACGTGGCTTCTGTTTATTTTAAGCAGGTAATGCTACAATCCTAACTCAAGACTGTTTATGTGCACCTCCTGTGTATAAACTGAGGTGACTCTGAAAATCTCTACAAGTTAGTCACTGGACAAGCTGAAGGTCTTTTAGCTTGTTTTGTAGGACTGAGGTGAAGTTATTCCCTTGAGTATTTCATTGTTGATGCAAATTAGTCTGAATTTCATGTGAAGTATTTGCAAATAGTGTAGTTTGTGATAATAATTTTATCAAAATGTTTTTGCAGTTGTTAATTGTGAGTGGCAGAACTATAAGGTAAGTTATTCCAAGACAGAGTTAGTAAAATACTTGTTTTACGGCTGTGTGCCACACAGTAGAGAACTTAATTTGACCTAAAGTTTCCAGAAAACTATGACATTTTCTTAGGTGTCTTCTCGTTTAATTTCCAGTCATTGTGGTGTAGCCCTTAAGACTAATACAAAATTTTGTTAAGTATGATCTGAGTTCTTTTGTGTCTCAAAATGTGATAATTTGGGGATTGAGAATGTTTGGAAACCTTTAAGACTAGACATTCTGAGCACGACATGAAACTGAAAAAAACACCAAAAAATGGTTTGGCAGGACTGAAAATGTCAGTGATTTGATGTTTTAGTTAAGAGTATTTTAGGTGGTGCCGAATGCTTTTGGAATGTGAAGCTATTTTAGTGGTACTTTAAAACGCCAAACTTTAAAAGACTGATAAATCTCCTGAATGAAGAATCTTAATGTAGAATTTTGATAATGTGATGGATTTTAATTATGTTTCTGGAAGCTGTCCTTTTGTGAGAGTTCTGTTTTCTGTAAGTTTAACAGAAGACCTACCACTTACTGGAGCGGTCATTTATATAGATTCTCTTTGGTATTACATAACAATGCTTAGTGCTTATTAAAAGGAAAAAAACATATAGTAAAATATGTATAGATTATATGAATTATCAGCTCTCTGTATGTACTTCTAGGTTGTGAGATCTTGCATGAACAGTGAGAGAATTTCCGTGTTACTCAAAATATTGGACTTTACCCACAATAATCTTCAGAAGGTGCTCATATTCACTAATACAGTAAATGAGGCAGAAATGATTCATAAGGTAAGAAAGTATTTAAATTTACATAGATAAGTGCTTTAATAATTGTTAAGGTATACAAACTAAAATATCTGGGCTTCTGACAATAAAGGAGGAGTGTGAATTTGGAAGTTAATTATTTCCTCTAAAAATAGTCCCAACCCCTCCCTTCTGCCAACTAGAAGAAAGCCTGACAGGAATGTCTGGCATAGAATGAATTCATTATTGAATTCTTAACCATGTTTTGTCTGTCAGGTTGAAACTTTGAGCTGAATCAAAACAACTTTTTTTCCAGTAAAAGCTGTCATTTTAAAAATTTTTATTACTTCCTTTAGTGTTTTTTCCTGAGAAACTGGTACATGAGCCTGCATGTGGTTAGATGATAGAATCCACTTAGAATCGAAAGGATGTCTTAATGGTGGGAAAAGCTTCAAAAGAAATTTGTACTTTCTTAAACATCTGTTTTATGTATTAATCCATAGGAATCTGAGCTTTATTATCTTTTTATACAGGAAATTAATAATCTCCATAGTGTCGTCTTTTTTTTTTTTTTATGTATGCAACCTAAATTTCATTAACTCTTTCCCTTGTCTCTCTTTACAGTAGCTAAGGTATGCTAGATACTAATAAGATACACTATTAGAGTTTATTAGAGAAGTTATTGCTGTGTTGCAAGAATGCATAACTTTGATTTGTCAACCAGGCACTGAAGAACAACTCAATATTTTCACTGAAATTACATAAAGAGAGCGAGTTTAATTTCAAGTATATCATAGAGCAGTGGACAAAAAAGTCTAATTCTGGCACTCATGTTGTATTAGGTGAGTATTTCCTTTTTGTCTCATTGTGATTGTCTCCATGGCAACTCATGTTCTACACTAAGTAGTTGCGCTAGGTTATCTCATAGCTTCTGCAGGATCAGTTCCCTATGAATTCTTTCTAGTTATCCCTTTACTTTGTAGTACTCTAGTATTTTTTTCTTGTTTTGGTTTTGTTGTTCCTGGGTCCCAGGATTAACTGCTGTGACAGAGAATCTTACTTATTAGAGTGGACATAAAGGAAGTTTTTTGATGCATTAATTAAAAGATTTACTAGCACTTCCTATGAATTTCCATGATTTCACAATTATCTCCTATTGGAGAATATATTCAGTTTGAAATAGGTTAGAAACTCTGAAGAACTATTGTAATTTTCCATGTGTTCTGGTGGAATTTTACTTCTCAAGTTGTTTGCAGTAGTAAAGATTCTTACCCAGTTCCAAACTTAATTTTTTCCATTGCATCTGTCAAAAGCAAGAAGATTGCCTTAGAATCTGTTCTGTAGGTTCACACAAGGTGTTAGGATTCCTCCATTACTTCAAGTGTTTTCTGTCTTACTCTTGTGAAGTACTTGGCTGTGAGCAATTCTGTTTATTCTGTGGCACTGATGTGAGAGATAGAATTATGCTAGAACGTGAAACGCTGTGTCTATTTGCTTATGAAATGTATTGACTGTAATGCCTTATGTAAGTAAATTGGGAGAAGACCCTTTTGTTGATTCTTAAGTCAATGGATGGGGAGAAGGAAACAACCATTGCTAATGTGATGTAAACATTTCACATGCTTGAAGTATTAGTTATCTGATATGTGTATAAAACATGTGCTTAGTTTTAACAGATGACTGCATGCAGTATTTGAGAATTACAGATGCAACTTGCGTGATACATTTTGGTTTTCCTTCTCCAAGAATCTTTGGTCAGCGTCTACGCAGCATGTCTGACAACTTCTGTAATGTGATAAAGGTTTGAGTAAATCTCACTACGTTTGATTAAGTAGTGAATAAATAAAAGCTTTTAAATACATGTTTATTTTTTTTTAGGATTCTTCTGTAGATCAGGAATATACAAAGGCAAGGTCAGTAATTCTACTAACAGAAAACAGTGAATGTCATGAACTTGGCATCCTGCATTATTTGCAGCACGCAGAAGCTGAAATTCCACCAGAACTGCATGATTTTACTGCTAAGATGCTAGAAGCTGAAGAAGATCAGAAGTTTTCAAGGCCACTGTGTGCCTACCTTAAAACATTTGGAATTTGCAAGTAAGGAAATTACAAGTTTGCTTGATACCCATACTGACACAGGAAGACATTATATGCACTGTATGATGAGTGCTTCTATTTCCTTGACAAATTTTCCTGTTGGATACTTTTATTCAAAACAGGTTTGGCTTTTTTTTTTTTTTTCCTATTGACTGTTGTATCTCTTTTGATCTTTTCAGGTACTTTTATGAAAACAAATATTAACCTATTTATGGATACTAATCCTACATAGTCTGACATGATATAATTCATTATAACTCCTATATGTACTTGAGTGAACTTTAAGCCATTGTTTTAATTAGCATTCTAACCATAATTGTACAAGCGCTTTACTCTCTCCTCTGTTGTCTTCTGTCCCTCCACAGTGGGTAAGTAGATGATGATTTCTCTGAGCTGTGTGTAACTGGAGTGTAAGTAACTTCCTCTTCCTTGAAGGAAGAAGCTAAAATGTTCTCAGGTATGACTTCTAGTGCAAATAACTGTTGTTGCAAGTAACAAAAATTGCAATGTTAGTGTTTATTTTACTCTCAAACAAATTTTCTGGTGTTGTTTTTTTTTCTGTTGTGCAAATTTTTCCACTGAGAGCTTTCTGGCTGTTTCTGTCTAACCCCCAGTCGTTGTTGTTTGAGACAGAAACTGAATAGAGGGCTGATGAAATTTTAGTGTTTAAATTGGTTGTAAGTCACATTAAAACAGCTTACAACTGAAAACAAAGGGCTTTTTTTCTAAAACTGTTTCTTTAATATGTAGGAATAGAACAGTATGCCCAGATCGTCATCAAATTAATTTACAAATAGACGTGCCCCAGAACATACCAGATAAAATTAAACAAACACCTGGATATGTGACAGTAAGTTACTTTATTTTTCTTGGATTTTGGTACCAAGAAGACAGGTCTCAAGTAGATACTTAGCATATTACTTAATATAATACAGAAAATAGTATTACTGTAGTATGTATAATATATCTCTTTGATATGTGTTATTTTTTAGCTTATTTCCTCTCTCCCTTGCATGAGTAAGTATGCCAAATTTTTCCCTTAATCTTTTAGCTTGAATTGAAATTGTTCTGCAAGTGATTATGAGTTTACCTCAGATTTTCTTCTGCATTGAAAATTCCTATTCTGTGGGAAGAGGGCTTGTGTTCTGTTTATTCCTTCTCTCTATAAATTGAGACCATATACCAACATTAACAAAGATTAAAGTTTCTATAAATTATATTTATTGTAGAGGAAATGCAATTAATCTTAGTGAACAGAAGTTAAAGTGGAAGATAATGCATGTTTTGTTGGAAATAAGAATAATTTTTTTTTTTATCATGCTGACATGTTCATACAGACTTGCTGAAAAATGACAGTTTTTTCATTTGCAGTATCCACAGAAAATGGGATAACTGCTCCATCTAGAAGGGAAGAGCTGTATTTCCTCCTAAGACATCAACACTTTTTGAAAACTGTTTTGATAGAGTGCTGTTCTAATTGGACTTTAATAGTTTCACAGTCATGAAACCTTCATGATTATTGGGTTGCCTTTTCTATGGTGGTTCTTCACATACCAGTAACAGTTTGTATATTCACCTCCTTCACCTGGCTTTTCAGCCCCTTCTCTACTGGAGTGTTGTACAGTCTCTCTCATCTTCTTGTGGGGTGATGATTGCTGAGAGTAAGTGTGTAGACATTGGTGCTTCCTTCCAAAGTTAGCAATTGCTCTAAGAAGTGACGGATGCCTTCTGTTTGGATGAACTGCTTCTGCCTTCTTCCTGTCCTGTCTGTTGCAGAATTCAGGTGCCTTCAGGTCATGCAGTTAGTGGGTGTTATCCATTCCTGAAAGTCACAGGTTGTGAGAAAAAGGAGAACTGGGTGGATTCTTTGGTCACTCCATTTCTGCCTAATAAATAAGGCTTTGTTGGTAGATATGAGTTCAAACCCTTTGACAACCTATGTATATCTAATTTTAGTGCCTAAGACCGGGACAGATTTCATGACACTCTGATTAGAAACTTGCACTTGCCTGTGGTTCGCTCAAGACAGCAGTTGTGGCCTCTTCCATTTCCTCATGTAATTTTACTTCTGCTGACTGCAGAGCCTGGGTGTCTTACATAACCAGTGATAACCAACTTGTATTGACTTTCTTTTTTGTTTGGAACCCAGTGTAATATTTCCTTCCGTTAAGAACCTCAAGTCGTGTTGTGCTTTCTTAGGATTTTTCTTAAATGGAAATTACCTTTCTGGTCCTCTTACTATCCTATCTGGCCTCCTGTGCTCAGCTGTGTGTTAGTCCTTCTGGTTGGCATGACTCTTCAGATGGAACGCACCCAGCATTTTATGCATTGGTGTTGATAGTTGTATATTCATATTTTTTAATTCAGGTAATTTCAGTGCAAAAGGAGTGGAGGCCTCATGCTTCCCTGGTCCTTCTAAAATTCACTGTAAGGCTAGAGAACACTTACGGTTAAGCTTGAATGGTGTGGAATGCCTTAAGTGTACTTAGGAGCTTGCAGGTAATAGTATAGTTCACTGGGGTTCATTTAAGTAGAATAGCACCAACTTAACAGTTCATGCTCTATAAATTTCTGTCCACTGTTGCTTGGAATATAGGCAACTAGCATTATTCTTGATCCTATGAATAATTATAATTACAACTCATCTTCTGAAAGGTGTGTATGCAGCAGCTCCCTGTTACCACTTGAGGTTGGAAAGAGGTAGATCATCTTGAATACAAAAGCATAGATTTCATTACCTTAAGAAATCGTCCAGTCTTCTAATGTATTTTATGCTTTCAGATACTGCCTCTTCACATTGTAAATGCAACAAACTACTTTGGTCGGATAGTAGACAAACAAGAGGACCAATATACAAATCTTGCTGAAGAAATTAATGAGTATTTTAAGAAACCTGGTAATAAAATTTCTGTTAAAAATGTGGAGAAGCTTGCCTTTTATGGATTATGTGAAAAAACACTTTTTCACAGGTAAAAATGTTGTCTTTTAAAATTATTTACGTGCACTTTTTTATACAAAGTAATTTAAACCGTCACTGTTAAAGTCAACCTACCCCCAAAACCAGCCAAAAATCAATTATTCATTCTTTTAAAAGTTATCACATACTCTTTAAGTTACCAAATGGAAAACAGAATGACTACCCACAGAGAGATTTTGCTATGACAATAACATTTTTTAAACAGATTTTAAAACTTTTTTCAACTCACTGTATGAAGAAAAATAATTCTATTTTCTCTCCTACTGTATAAAGGGTTCAGGTGGTAGAGATTTTCCCAAAAGAGGAGGAAAATTTATTCTTTAATGTTAAAATTAAATATATAGATGAAGGAAGAACAAGTCAAGTTCAGAGCTATCACCTGCTTCAGTTGCCTGCAAGGTTTCAGTGTCTACCACCTCAAGCTGTGGAATTCATAGTCTGTAAAGTGAAACCCATTGATAATGAAATTGAATGGAACCCAAAGGTAATATTCATCAGAGTTTACATGGTATTTCAGTTATGTTCTTTAATTTCTCTGTGTGTTACTTGCTACAGGAAAATAGTTGTGAACTGCAAAAATAGTTATCAAATTTCATTGCTTATTAGTATTACCAGATTCTAAGAAGTCAGTTTTCTTTGTTTCTTTTCCTACAAACCAGTGAAGTGAGACTTCCGCATGATTTAAACGGCTTCTTCCAGAATAAGTTACCACTGCTTTTGAATCTGTGGGGAGTAACAGGGGAAGGGTAGCTTCTGTAAATTGTCCTGTTGATATCCATCTCAAATGCAGTGAAAATCTGTTTTTCCTAGGTAACCAGTTACATTTGTCACAAAATTAAAGGAAAACTACATGAAGCAAAAATAGTACATACCTTGGGAAATACAGCTTGGGTTGACCCAATGGTAGGTACAGAATTGTAGCATTACAAGATACTTATATCTAAACTCCTTTATAACAAGAGCACTCATTCTTCTCTTTCCTTCTATCCATTCATACTTTAGTTTTATTCTACGTGGTATTCACATAGTCGTGCTGGTTAACTTACTGTGATGGTATCTGAGCACTGGAGCAGGTTGCTCAGAGGTTGAGAGTCTCCATCCTTGGAGATAGTCAGAAGCCATCAGGACCTGGTCCTGGGCAGCTGACTCTAGGTGCCCCTGCTCGAGTAGGGGGGGGTTGAATGAGATGACCTGCCAGAGGTCTCTTCCAACCTCAGTGGTTCTGTGATAAATATGTATGCTTGTATATAGATGGAATTACATGATTGAGTAAAACTTGAACTTTAAATCTGGAGAGCTGAATATGCACCAGCCACAGAGCACCAATTTATAAATATTATCCTGACTATTTCACAAAGTATGTTTTGGAAGTACTAGTTTTTAGGGGTTTGTATTATAAAATCAATTCTATATTGTCACATGTTGATCTGAAAGAATAAAACTTTGCTCCAAGATTCTTTATATCTAAGACCTCTTATACTAATTTATTCTTGTTTACATTTCTAAGTCTTGTCTTTCATTGTTCTTGCACTAGTTTAAGTTTTAGTATAAATTTTTCTGCAAGTTAAAAAACACTTTTGAGGTTTTTTTCCATAGTCGGTTTGATTGGAGTAGGAAGAATAGGTGTTCTTGTTGGGTTTTATTACAATTTTACTTACACTGACATCTGGAAGACTACTTGGTCTTGTGGAGCAATAATATGTAGTGTTGTAAGTTTGGGGTTTTTTTAAGCTAAATTTGTTTCTGCCAGTGTTCCAAAGAGGACTTATAATCGTAAATTGGATATAAAGGCTGACCTTTCAGATACTAAGGTTTTGTTTTTACATCTTGTTCTCATTGCAGTAATCTCAGACATGTTGAAATTGCTTTAATTATTGATTTTCTAAGTTGACTTTTTAGATTTCCCTGAAATAAAATGTTACAGTCAGGGTCATGTTTGGATTGTTCTTTTGTCAGTTCCTTGGCCTTGTAAGAAGGGCAGTACTGGCCTTGACTCAAGTATTCCTGTTGGTGATTCTGACTGGAAGGTGATGGCTAGGGAGAAGTTAGGGAGTATGTCATCCATGTGATGGTGTTTTCTCTGAGTATTCTCCTGTTCTTCCAAAACTTTGTAGATAGGAGATTGCCTCAGGGCTGTGTTTTACTTGAAAGGAGTTTTCTTGAAAGGTAGGAATCTTTTCTGACAGTTACATCAGAATAAATCAAGTGCCTTTTAAGCCTTTACTAATGGCACGAACAAGCTAGTTGCATTTTTATGACATCTGTTGAGAAGTAATTTCACTTTATAAGCAAGGAGTTGTGTAAAAAATTGTTAGCAAAAGTAGCTCACAACTTCAGGGAATTTTTAATTATTTATGGTCTGGACAAGTTAATCAGAAGGGCTTTCCTATATCTCAGGATCATGATGTGCATCTTGTGGCTGCTTGGTCCTGCCAAGGAGTACAGTGAGACATTCCTGTGCCTTGGAATGTATCATGGTATGTTTTCCATCTGACCATTCAGTCAGATGAAAAATACAGTGGAAAAAGAAAATTATATGGAAGTAATTCTGTTGAGTAGCTTCCTTTCCTGTATGGTGTGTATCAACTCTTCTCCGATTTCTACGCTTTCTGTTTTGTTTAGGGCTTTTCTTACTGTGTCTCCCCAGCAGTTTTATTGTTATTTGGGTCTAGAAGTTACTCTGAATGTGTGGTGTGTATTTTGACTGTCATTCATGTTTATCAGGGCTAGGACTATTTCCTTCATTGCCATCTTGGTTCTGTTAGATGGGACTAGTTACTAGTTATTTGAACCATTATCACAATGGAAAAGATAGTGATACTTTGAAAACAATTAAACATGGATAGGTTACTGTTTGAAAATCATAAGAAAATAATTGCTTACAGATGGAAATAAATGGTGGTATGTTTAAAGATTTCTTAAAGAACAGCTTAGAGTTGGAGAGAGACCACTTATGAACTATGATGTCCATTTAGTGTGTTTTGTAATTCAAGGTCCGGCTTACCAGGCTTTCAGGTTTCAAGATGTCGGTCAATGAATACAACGTTCGATCTGAGATTTTGTCTACGGGTCTGGGAACTGACAACCCAGAACATATAACACAACTTCAGCTGTGCATACACAGTAAAGTATTAGATCATACAAAGAACTTGAAGCCTTTGTAAGTGTTTACAAATCTTTTTTTCAGCATATTCTTTACTACAAAAAAAATTTCTATTACAGGATAATTTAATAACATTACTGAATGTGATTTTTTTGTTTAAATATAGTCAGTAGCATTTGTGATATGTCTGCTTTCCTTTAACTATTCTTGAGCCACATAACCATTACAGAAAGAAAAATACCAAGTCTAGAAAGAAACTATTATTTGATGTAGATAGTCAAGTATATGATGAAAATATGGAGACTGAATGCAAATTTTTACCTTTTGTTATGATCAGTGGCTTTTTTCAATGCTTACAAGTCAGTGCAGTAGAGCATATTGTTGGTGTTTGTACAGTTGCAGAGTTCAAACTGGAAAATGTAAACAGTTTACTTTTAAAGGATTAGGGCCATACATTTCATTAATATGGCTTCATGATGGTTTTTGCAGTAACAGCACTGCACATTTTTTTTCCTTGCCTTGTAAACTTTTAGAACTGAGTAAATACTGTATGTGGTGGAAGCGCACATCTTGTTGTGGTTTATACCAGATCCTAGGACTCTTGATTTAATCAAGGCTTATGAGCAAGACATCTGTAGCTCTTCTGTTCTGGCCTCTGTGTGGCACCTTGTCCAGGAGTTTTTTTAGCCACATACTCTTCAGTTTGGAGAGCCATCATTGAAAATTTAATTTAAATGCCAACTTTAATTTAAATGTCTGACCAACCAAGGGTTTAATATTTACAAGAAGAGAGAAATCTCAAATGTTTTCTTCCTGAGAGTAAATACTGCTTCATAAGCAAAAAAAGATCCCTGGAATACCAACATGGGCACTGTATGTGTTGTCTCATGATTGGGCAGGTTAAGGTGGCTGTTTCTTTGACTTAGCTAGTCAACAAGATGAGGAAGCCTAACCTCCTTCATAGTTCATTTCTATCTTAGATTGAGATTCCTGTATTTCTGTCTAGAACTGTAGTGGAGTTTAATCTTAACCAAAGAATTTGTTTTTTCCCGTATTATCTTCAACCTTAGAAATCAGTATTTGAGAACAGTGTTGATGCTTGGAAGGGATTTTTTTTTCAGGTTTTATTCCTTACAGAGAACACTCAGGGTCTGAGGCTTCTGCTGTCTCAAGCACAACCTTTTTTAATTTATTTCTTCTTTCACACTATTAATGAACAGGAAGTTTGGTAACCTGCTAATGCTCACCAGAGCATTCAGTGCCACAGACCAGACAGCTTTATTGTGGTCCTGTGTGCAATGGTTCCATCTCAAGTAGCTGTAATGCAACTGCTTGGATTACTTCTTGCAGATTCTCTAAGCCTAATACTTACTCTTCTGAATCTTTCAACTGTCTGCAGTCTATCTTATTGAGTTAAATAAAGGGGACTTAAAGGGCTCCTGTAATGTGAGTTGACTGACTTCATTTGTGGTTTTTTGCAGGAGTGTTTTCTCCCTGTTGCAGGATATGTTTAGTTACATGTTGTTTATGCAGATTTCAGATGCTGGACTGCAGATTTAAATTTTACAAAATAAATTTATACTTAGTATGTGGCACATCACTTTGCTTCCCCCTTAATCTGTGCTAGTTTGACAAGCATTCTGTTTTACTCCATTTTTTGTCTAGGATTTGTGTGAGAGATTAATGTTACTTATTACCTTTGGTCCTTCATGGCTATGAGTATGGCTCATTACTTAGCAGGTACTCGTAATACTTACATCATGTCTTCCTCTGATCATGGTAATTGCATCAAGGAATGCTTCTGCACGGTAAAAGATCTTAGAAAATAACACAAAGGTAAAGGATACTTTTCCTGCTATTCTGAACACAGTCTTATTTCTCTGAACTACTTGGTGAATTGCCTACATTGCAGAACTCCTGCCTGACATCGGCAGCCCAAACCACTTCCTATTAGTGCATCAAGCAGCACTCAGTATAGTGGGTAGGTTTTTCTGTTCTTTTGCCTCAGCCATTCACTTCAATTACATATCATTGCTACAGCATCCTGGGCTTCTTGTGATTGTTCATCAGTCTTCCTCTTTAGTTTAAAAGTCAACAAGATTCTTCAGTTAACTAAATGCTCATGGTTTGTCATGTGCAGTGCAAGGATCTTATCTCTGTGGCCAGAATGTAAGTGGTGTTCTACTTATCCCCCAGATAACCCACAGGTATCTAAACCAGTGGACCTTAGCATATATATGCCTTTCAGGCAAGCTTGGTGTAGCCAAAATTTTGCATGTTGTAAACTGCACTTGTCCAACAAGATAGGTTCAGTCTTAAATTGCTTCACCAACATTTTTGTACTGGAAAAAAAATGGCTCCTATCTTCATCTGCAGGATGATGTGGTCTACGGATATAGGCGGTATCCTTCCTTTGAGATAATCCATCAATTACGAATAAAGCCACTCTGTCTCTGGGCCTTCTCTCCAAACCTTTTTGGTGATAATGAAAGAGGTCGTGGCCCATTTCTAATGCATAGGCAGCTCTCTAATTTGCTGCGTTGACTTGCATGATAGATGCACAATCAGAGCACCACATCCTTCAATCTCTTTATGTGATCTTTGGATATTGTCCCATGAAGACTTGGCAGAAATTCTAGTTGCTCCTGATTTATGGTGTTTGAGAAACACAGCCTGTCCTTCATTGCAAGTGTTACCACAGCTGGAGAGGTACTAGGCCTAGCTTGAAAACTAGGGGTTTTGCAGGAATTACATCTTGTTGCAGGTTGCAGTTACATCTTGGTTGTGTTGATTTCAGGTGTTTCATTGCAGACTTCATGTACAAAGCTCTGGTTTAAATTCATACTCTATTTGCCCCGTTTTCAGCCCCCTACCTTTCAGGTCCTTCAACTTGTGAGGCACTTTCTTGCTTGGTAGTTGTTTTTAAGGTGTGGCATGTGAATACTTAAACATTTCTGTAGAATTTTGGTTGCTTGAAGGGAGGACTAGAGTCTCTCAGACTTTGGCTTTCCAGAGCTATGTAGTGAATCATAGGAGACTTGACTCTCTTTGAAGTGTGTGATTCCTTCACGTATATAACACAGAAATAGCTTCTAAAAAATACTGTAAGGTGAATTTGCTGTGCCATATTTTACCTAGTCTCAAAGAATTGTTTAGTTGGAATTATTCAGAAAAGCTGATAAGCATTTTTTTAAAGGTGGAAGTGATTAAAGATATCTCTTCTTTAAGATCAAAATTACTTTAATCTTACTAATTTACCTCCAGAGTATTTAAAATAAGCTGTATCAGTTCTGAATAAAGATGGCTGCATGGGTATTTAATATTAATTCTTCAGTATGGATTAATTTCAAAATTTGTATTTTATTTATGCAGACTGAAACATTAGGTGACAGATTACTAGACTAGTTTCAGTCCTCTTCTGCCACAAAGTGTTTGGAGGTAATGGAAGGAAGAAAGTATTTTTCACTTGGACAGGTGTCTCAGTGTTTCAAAAATTATGTAGTACAGTGTTCCTCTGGTAATGTTTTGACAGAGACTTCAGAGGCTCTTGCAGAACAGAGGGTCATAGTGCCTGTCTCTGAACTCTCAAGTAGATTGACTTTGTTGCAGTGTTTCCTGAATCTTGAGTCCAGCTACTGAAGCCCCTGTACAGCTGGAAAGACAGAGGTCTCTTACTAATAAGTGAAGAACTTCTGAGTATTCTGATATTTTTACTTTTCCAAGTCAGAATGAAATATGATCAAAAAGTCCTCAAACGTACTAGAATCCTCTGTGAAAGGGAATCATTTTCCTCTTTATGTCTATCACACAGTAAAGCAAATAGATTTTTATGATTCAAAGGAAATGCTGGTACTATCAGAATTTTAAATGTTCTTCTAACTTGGATTCCTGTATAAATGCTTGTTACTGAGTTACTGAAGTTCAGCAACCCTGTAGTGAGATTTACAGTTTGCATTTTATTGTATTTTGTTGTCTATATTAGAATGAAAAACTTCAAAATAATTTCCAGCTATGAGTAGGAATTATTTAAATATTAAACTTATTGAAACAGGTTTTTTAAAAATGTCTTTTTCTGTTTCAGAAGCATAAAGGAGGATACAGCTGGTCCAGAGAATGCATCCAATCCACAGAATATGTCAATACAAGAAAATTCTACTGAAAACTGTAATACTTCTAAAATTATTTTAGGGAATCATCCATGTGGTAAACCTTTTAATAATTTCCAAAAATTTAAAATCTTTAAAGTTATGTGCTTAAATGTCAACTTTTAAACATCATGTTACCAAATTCAAACTTCTCTGAGTATACAGAATAACACCATATAGCTAATGTTTACAGTAAGCCACAAATACTTTATAGTTAGCAGCCTGGAAATGCTGTGAGAGTAAGCCATACTAATATAGGTGTATTACTGTTTGGGAAATACTCTGTCCTGGAGAGACTCAAAATTGACTCTGAATGGAATGCATAAGCAGAAAATCTCTCCTGTAGAGAGAACAAGCATTTTGCTGCCAAAGGCCATGGTGTTTAAGGAAGTTGAAATATTTGGTGAATAATAGCATCATGCTCTGGGAGGTTGGTTGTTTGGGGTTTTTTGCCAGAGATTCAGGGTGGTAGAAAATGGCTTGGTAGTTTGGTTTTTTTTCCTTTTTAAATCTAATGTTCAAGGATGTGGTATTCGGTCAGTAGAGGCTTAAAAGCACATGGCTTTGAGTTATGGAAGGTGGACAGAAGATGATCTGACAGCAGTTGGCATGTGAGTTGGGAGCAATGAAAGCTAAGTGATTAAAAAGTTGCAGCAGAGAAAAGTCAAATAAGATCTTGGAGTGTTTATTGTAGAAGACGCTTTTTCCTGTTGTAGTAGAGTGGCTGTAATGCTGTATTTCAAGCTGTGATGGTAACCTCAGTATTAGTCATTTTATCCTTAGAACTCTTAATCAGTTTCTAAAATGACATGTTTCAGGTTTCAAATTAGTAATGCCTTGAAACTTGAAAAACGTTTACCTGACCTGGAAAACACTGCATTTTTGGTGTGGGGTTTTTTTTTTAATTTTCTTATACCAAGTTAATACTTTTATAGTTAAAATTTTCAGTTGAATTATTAACTTTGTGAAACCTTTCCGAATAGAAGTACCCAGTATAAATGCCAAATACAGTCTTGCAGTAGTAATTTGATTGCTAGCAAGTTATTTTTATGATGGTACTGGGATATTCTGGAAGTATCTGGTTTCTGTAGTATAGATAAATATAAAATATCTTTCTGGATTTCATACTTTTAGATGGCGTAGCTCAAACCAAGGAAGCAGAAGACTCTAGCCTGCATCAGCGTAAATGGTACAAAAATTCAGAGTGATTTGTTCCCATGCTTGCTTTTTAATGTGAACTGTCAAACAGGACAATCATCCTTACTGAGATTATCTGTTTTGTGAATAAATAGAGGTATATAATACCGGTAGAGGTATTCTGTTACATCAGTGCTGAGCCTGAGAGATTACTGTTGCTGTTAGATACGTATGTATATACACACATCATCTTGTGAATCCCTTAAATTGCTCTATTGCTTACTCCTGGAAGCTAACTTTATCTGTTGAAATTACCTAATCTTTGATTAGACACCATAGTACTGGGAAGTGAATGAAAACAAACACTTTTTCAGCTCAGTCCATGTGTATAAGCTCTGACTTGCACTTGTCTGGGTTATGTTTTAACCGAAGAGTGCCCTATTTGAGATCTAAATTGTAACTCCTACCCTTCTGTCTCTGTGTATTGGTATTTAATGAGATTAATCAGTTTTGTGTCTTTCCCTTGAATGCAATTCTGTTCTTAAGAAAGAAAAAAACAAAAAAAAACAAAAAACCATCACCACCACCAATTTCTGATTTATTGTTGACAATGTCTGTAGCATTAAATTATGGCCCGTTTCCTTTTCTTTTTCGTTCTTTTTTTGAAAGTGGACCCATTGTCTTATCCACAGAGGAATAAGGATAATTTCCACTGATTAAAAAGTTTGAAGAGCGTGCAGTATAAATAAATGCTAGGTTTGGTTTTGATTATGAGTATGCTGAGGGACTTAAGTGTGATTTGCAGGCCAAGTCAGCAGATAGTGGATCCTGAGAAGTTTTTAAATTTCTTGCACACTTTGGGACTTGCTTTTTGCTTATGCTTTTTTCTTCTACCTATTAATGCTAATTACAGGTGACTAATATTTTGTTGTGCAAGTACCAGAAGTATTTTGTATTTTAGCCTATTAGAAAAGTGATTGAATCCATATGTATCTCCTTCTGCAGGTTGGCCAGCACAGTTTAAGATGTGCATTATGTAATACATGTTGAGGTGTGGCTTAGCAGTTAAACTAACAAAGGTTTAGATATGACCGAGGATATGTTAAGTAACACGAATGAACAGGACTGCAGCCTGCTCATAGGATTTCTCTTTCACTGGTTGAAGCCTTTCAGCATATGGAAGTTTGAGGCATAACAGCTGTAGAATAAGTGGTTTAAAAACTCAGTGGAAATGCATATTTGTGTTTGTGGTCAGTTGAAAATTCTACATTGTTGCTCAGAGAGGTTGGTCTTGCTACTGATACCTTTTCTTTTGTCATTTCAAGATTGGACTATGATACCATCCTTAAATAAAACAGCAAGTTTGATTCCTTTGGATATCAAAGTTAAAGAAGTGTGTCTTTCCACTTGAACTAGTAGATGTGCTCCTCCAGAGACAGAGATTGCAGTGATTTTGTAGCAGACTTGCCTGATGTCCTATCATGTGCTTTCCTGACACTGCTACTCAGTTACTATGAGTACACCTACAGATGCTGAAACTCAGCTGGTTGGTTGTAACGTAATAGAAAAATTCCAGCTGTATGTGAAACAGCTTGTCTGAAACTCAGTGGTTTTATATTTTGGAAAAAATCCAATTAAACTTTCTTTATTTTAGTTTTTATCCAGAAATAAAGTGGTTTCAAAATGAAGAGACTGTTACAGTGAAGGTAAAAATAGCAAGTGTAGCCGACTATAAATGTGAATTCTCTAAACAGAAGGTGGTTTTCAGGTAGGTTTAAGAAATTTAAGTTTAATAAACAAAACGTTTGACTGTCAGCTTGCATTTAATTTTTTTAAACTCTTTTACAATGTAGTGCTTGTTCAGGAGACAAACTTTATTTGGCTGACTTGGAGCTGCATCAATATATACTTGCAGAAAAGTCTACATGTGTAATTAAGGATAAAGAGGCTGTTATTGTTCTCATGAAAGAGAAAAAAGGAGCATGGTGCAAATTACTGAAGAACAAGGTGCAGTGGAAATCAATTGAGAATTACTGAATGTTTTGAACATATTCACTGTGTGTCAGTGCAGGTATTTCAAACAATGTTTTTGTCAACAGAATCTTCATGTATCTTTTGATTTTGAACACTGGGAAGATTTTGAAGATAAAAGCCCTTTTTCAGTTGGTAAGGAATGAAGGAATTGGTTTTTATAGTGCATAAAAGGATTAGCATCTTCATTTTTGCATAGGCTTTATCTGAAATACTCATTTATTTCAAATATCTGGCACTTAACTGGCTTGCTCAAATTCTCTGAAAACAGATAAGGACCGGTAATAGCATGGTACTTTTCTCTCAGAATAGCATGGGCAAAAAGGAGTTTGAAATAGTTTTTAATGTTTTAGTCTAGTTTGTTGTCTAAAGTGTGTGGGTTTGTTGTGTTAGTTTTGTTTTTGTTAGTACTGCTACATATTTGTTCTGAAGCTCTTAGTTTTTCTTGCTTTATTCATAGGTACTAAAAAACGGTGGTGCACTGCTGCAGTAAGTGAAGAATGCACTGACTCCTCAGAAGACAGTGGCACAGAAAGTGATGAGTAATTTGGAGACAGATTTTTTTTTTTTTCCTCTAATAAGAATTATGCTTCAATATAGTCTCTTGTGTGAATCTTTCCACTAAAATTGATTAAACATACATGTTGCAGAACTGTCCTGAATTTTAGGAGGAAAATAGCAAACAAACTCCTTACCTTTGGGCTCTGAGAATCTGAAGAAATACTCCATAGAAGAACATAATGTTTGCTTTGCAGTGCATTCCATTTAAAATTGTTGTCTTTAATGATACGCACATACATATGTGTGCTATCCAAACAGTAAAATCAAAAGATTAAGCTTGGGTTGTTAAGTACCTGAATGTATGAATAATTACAGAGTTTCTAGTTTGCTTTATCTGAGTGAATTTCCTGTGTTAGCAATAGTAATTTTTGAAGTTTCACAAATCCTGATGATCTGTTGATTGTTTCTACTGTATTCCTCATTTATAGTTTGTTGGCAGTTGTCACATTTGTCAGTTCTGCATCAAGAAATGATGCCTCAACTTCAATGACAATTTTTGTTACCTGATTGGAAATATGTTGACTCTGTACGAGACACCACAGTGCTGCTCACTGTAGTAACTCGCTGCTGTACGCTTTTGTGGAACCAGCACTGTGATAGCGTTCAGAATTTGTTTTCAGTTTGACATTTTCACTTTTCAGGAATGCTCTTACTTCATTCCCTTGTATCTAAAACTCTTCTACTTTGCAGATCAACAATAAAATATTTGTCTGTTTAGCCCTAAAGCTTTGCCTTTTAGTATACCATCTTTCAGTAAATAATTTTTCACTGTTAGATTTGTGCACATCCAGAGCATCTTGCAATGAAGTAGTAATGTAAAAGATTATAAATGAATCTGGTATCTGTATCTTTGCATCTGTAGATTTTAAAGCACATTAGTTTCCCCAATGTAACTATATGGTGATTTAGAATAGAAATTTAACTTTATAGATTTTATTTTAAGAAGCCTAAAATTTTCTCGTATTCTTGACTAGGAGGAACATTCTTGTTTATCAGGGATGACATTTTCAAGAAACGCTGGGATGCCTTTACTTCAAGAATGGGAGGAGGATTTGTATTAGTATGTTAACACTGACAGTTGTTTTTTTCTAGTATTAGCATATCATATTAAAGCTGCTTCTTTCTGAATATTTAAGAATATTGCTGATGTCAGTGGAAAACTGCCATTTGACAGACAGTTGTAATTGTGTGGTTAAAAAAATTAGTGCTGTTGCAAACCTGACTACAACTGAACTTAATTATAATTTTCACCTGAGTACTGGTACTTGAAAAGCTGTAATTGTAAAAGTACTTAAGGGAAGTAGCTAATGTAACTATTTTGGTCCTGCTCTGCATTGTGATGCAAATCACCTAACTGAAAAAAAAATGGGGCAGGATGTTTTCTTTATGGTGGTGTTCTTTGACTTGTCTGATGTCTAATACAATGTAAGGTCATTTTTCTGCTGGCAGATAAATCTAGCGGGTTATTTAATAGACATAACTTATCTGTCATTGTTGTTTGAAAAGACACCTTATATGAGGTAGAAGCAAAAGCTGATTTTTAGCCATGCATTCTTAGCACCTGCCAAGAGCCAGTCTATAAAGAACAGTGTAAAAAATGTAGCAGTATGTTCCAATAATGTTCTCTTGGCCTCAAGCAGTTTTTGACCAGGGTCTTGATGAGGAAAAGGCTTTCTGTGGACTTCTTACTTGAATTGTGTTGTGTTTTGGAACCTATGTCAACTTAATATTTCTCCTACACTAAGGAATTCAGTAGTCAAACAACGTATTTTCTGAATATTTTTTTAATGTGTTTTGAAGCCATCCCTGCTCTAGCTGCTTGAAATCCCATACCCTCAAGATGTATTAGGAACAGATAGCTTGCTTTTCCCATTTTCTTGCCACTTAAAGACTCTGCCAGTAAACCTCTATTGTCATTTGTCACCTCATACCCTAATCAGTATCCCTGTTTCAGCCTTTAGAATTGTAGTAGATAGTCATTCCTTATACGGAAGTATTCTGTTTCTTTGGTCTTTCCCTGAACTTTATAGTTCTTCTGTCTGAAGTGATGTTTTTACCAACTGGGGTGGTGGGGCAGCAGTTCTAATAGTGTGACTGGGACAAAACACTGTGGTAGGTAATGACATAATTACAATTTTGGTTTGTTTCCATTGCCTTCTTTAGTCATTCTTAACCTTTTTGATTTTTTTTTTTTTATCCTGATTGCACTGATAGAGCTGATCTTTTCATAGATGTGACTATAATCACAGAATGTCCTTCAAATTAATCAAAACCTCAGAACCCGTTGTTTTTAGTTGTACTGTTGGGATTGGTTTTCCACATGGGTAGACGCAAAATGTAATATATAGGAACTTAAATTTTATCTGTTTCTTTGTAACTGCAGGATGATAGAAATAGTTTCTGTAGTTGAATTTGCTAGGCTAGTTGGTATGGACTTATCTTAAGTCAGTTGCTCAATATTCTTGTGTTACATATTTAGGATGAATGTGCTTAGTTGTTGAAAGGATCTGTTCTTTCAGTATAAATGTTCTTTCTCAAATCAAATGACAAGTGACTTAAAATTCCTTTCTTTATCCATTTGCACTGAGGGAATATGGATGCTAGGTAACATTCTTTCCCTGCCCAAGAAACTTGTAGTAGTAAAGTTAAGAGCTCCTTACATGTATATTTTAAGGTAGTATCCATTTTTTGTATTTTCCTCAACTACCAAATGGAGCATTTCTCAGATGATCGTTATCTCTGTAAAGTCGCTTTGGTGCCAAGGACAATTTCTGTGGCATTTACTTGCTGTTCCATAATTTGGATGGTGTTGGAGAAAAGAGATAGCTGAGAAATAAAGCTTTAAATTATTAACTTGTTTTAATTTTAAAAAAATCAGCCTCTTCCTATCAACTGTGCTTTCAATTTTTACTTGATTCACATTTTGTCAGTCTTTAATTTTTTGATAGCTAGTGTTTGTTCTGAGAAACTTGAAAGTGGAGTTTGTCTGGTTTTATGTTATTTTTGTCCTTTCTCTGTGGCCTGTTGAATGTCATGCTGTAAATAATAGCTGCTTCATTCTTTCAGCACTGTGATCAAAAGCATCCTGACAGTGCTGCTGGTAAGTTTTGCCATATTTGTAATTGAAAAGTTCCTTTTGTTTATTCTGAGTAATGTAAATGCAAAAAAAAAAAGATACTGTAACATTATTAGCAAACAACACAATCAGCTGTGCTGGACACTGTAACCTAGCTCAGAAATCTTTTATTCTTAACATATTTAACATTTTTCAAGTACTAAAGTGTTGCAAAAATAATACACCAGTATGAACATAACAATTTAGAAAGTATAAATGTGTGCCAAACTAAATTGAATCTTCTTCAACCAGTATAGCACTTAAAAACAACCTGGTACATATAAAATATTTTATTCAGTAACTTCCTCTGCTGGAACAACTTCCAAAAGCATCTGAAGGTGCATAGTGATGGGCTCTGAGAAAAAAAGTTATTGTTAGAGGCTTTATGAGAGCACAGTATTTCTATTCAGTTTTATGCTATTTTTCCAAGTTAGAAAATTGAGTAGTCTGTCTCTTCTGTATTCATTTCTCAAAAAATAAGAGGTGGGGAATAAAAACAGTCTTAAAATCCAAACTATAATAATCCAGGGTTTCTAAACTTGCTCTTTAATTACAGTACAAAGATTCTAATTGCATAAATACATATTTAGTAATCCCAAGGGGCAGGGCAGATGATGGATTTTTTTAATATCTGTAAAACTTCTAATTCTGTCCTCTTCAGCTGGTTTCACTTTCCCTTTTAGAAATATCACTGTATCCTGTTTTCCCTGAGATAATTGCAAAGAGTTTTTCTTGAGACTATGCAAAATCATTTTTTACATGGTCACACTGGGTTCTTGCAGCTTTCACTTTACTCAGCAGCACTGTGATTAGTTCTGGTCTTAATGCTGTTAACAGTGAAATTGATAACCTGGGCTAAAAGCACAGTGTTTTGTGGCATAAGAATATGTCTGCTAATCTTTAGTTAATGGCTAAAGAATTTGAAATATGGACAATCGAAAAGCTAACTTTGCAGGTTAAATAGTTCTGTACATTTTAAAAGTCAGTTTCTTTGTGCTACTGCAAGTGATATATTGCTTTTTTGTGAATTTTCATTTTTCATGGAGTCAGACATCACTTTTTTTCCACCAGAAGGAGTAAAATACAGTCTTTACTAAAATTCACTATGTCTGGAAAATTGCACCCTTCTATACCCTGCTCGTGTGATTTAGATGGGATGGACCATGTAATGACCTTTATTACATTAATTAATGTAAAGTTTAGCGATGTTCTGTTGAATTTGGAGCTGGATATCTGAGGTATACTTACTTGATATTTTTTGGGGCCAGTTGAACTTAAAATGAACAAAAAGTACGTAAACTATAAGTCCACTAAGTATAAATAAAACACAGTACAAATAGGCCAATTCAGGTGCACTGATGATTGGTGCCAGTACCAGTAAAATGGAGACTAATGTCACTATGACTGGAATGATGATGGGTATCTGCAGGACAAAGCACAAAATTAATTTTTTTATTACAGAAGTTGTATATATGATTGAAGAATATTTTCATTGCCTTGTGCATTTCTTCCTTTAAAAATTTTTTTTAATTAGATGGGGCAATTGAAAAATAGCAAGAATATGGATAGGGAAAACTCTTTTGCTAAATCATTGACAGATCTGTCTGTTCCCAGTTGCAGTGGAAAAATTTGCATTTTAATGAATCTGGGAGCTGACTCCAGTGCAGTGACCTGGGGTCTTATTTCGGGTACTCTGCTGATTGCAGTTTCCCATTCCCTGAAAATCTGGCTTGTGCTTGTGGTATGTGCAAGTGAAAATGGAAGTTGTGTAATCTTTTCCTGGCCCTTATGAGCTTTGTCCTAGTGCAAAACTGGAACAAAGAGACGAACTACAAATAAATAGCTAGGTTTCAGGTAAGGGGGGGGAAACCAAAACCCAAGGAGTCTGCCTGAGGATGTTCTTTAAATACCCAAATATTTAGGTTGAGTTCCTGTATTAGTATTTCTGGGAGTGGAGGAGAAGATACACTGAATGCTGAACTTACCCTGATTGGTCTCCTGAGTTCTTTTCTTGTAAACCTCATTACAATGAGTCCAACAGTGGTTAAACCATAAAATATCCAGACTGCGAAACTAAAATAATTTATGAGTGTGTCAATGTCACCAGGGATAATATAAATAATAGCAATGGCCCCCTAAAAGTGAAAACAAAAATCAGTATAGTCTATAAAAGAAGGCTGAATTGTGTCAGTATGGGCATGTTTGGTGTTCCAGTGTGATCTGTGAATTCTTTTGCTTAAATATTTGAGTACAGGTATATTGCAGCACCTTTAAAGATAGTGTTGACATCCTGCCAACATGTGTTTAGTTTTCTGTTTAATTTTAATTCCATATTAAGTCAAGACTTTAAATTTGTATGTGATAATCTGTTTTGGTTTTGACTGAGTATCTTGGAGGAAACGCAAATATTAAATATATATTTAGGTTATTAAAGCTACTGGGAGTTGACAAGAGCAACTGAATTTTACCTTGAAGTTTTACCTTGAAGATAAGATAAATGGGTAAAATAAAAATAACAATATATTATAGGTTTATTGCAAAATGTATTTACTGAATAGTTGGGGGTGGTTTTAGTGAGATCTAAATGCAGTGTTACAGGGAGGAGATAGGGTAGTGATAGCTTGCTTTCAGGCATCTTGTGAAATCCAGGATTTGCTAAGTACTAACCATTCACTTTTTAATTTGTTTTCATGATGTGGATTCTTAAAACATTTTGATTTTAAAATCCAGTCGTGGAATGAAACTGTTCAAATTGAGAAGTCAAGGGGCTTTGTGTAGTCTTTTTTCCTAATTATATATTTAACAGTTTTCATGTCTAGATAGTCAAAAATACATGTCAGGACTGCTGGTAAGAAATTGTGAAAGTATGTATTACTGGAAAATTTTTGTTGATAATTTTTCTGTACTTAGAATATATACTTACATAAAATATGATAGCGGGTGCTGGTGTTAAGCGTTTAACGCTAATGTAAGATAGCACCTTTAGCATGTGCCCTTCACGACCTGCAACATAAACAAGTCTGACAAAACAAAAGGCAATCTAGTTAGTGTGGCACCTAGACTTTTGAGTGGCATTTTCAGGTTAATTTTATTATGTGGCTACATCTGATTATAATTTCATCAGTATTTCCTTTCATATGCAGTGAGATTTAAGCACTACTATAATAGACTGAAATAAGGGAAATAACCAGTATTAAAGCAGTGAACTCAACTAAATTCAGAATCATTTTGCACGTTTCATTTAAAAATACTTGGAAAAAAATGTTACCGTGTCCCTTTTAATTAAGTATTTCCTTTTAAGTTTTTTTTATATCAAAAAGCTACATCAAAAACATTCCGTGAAAAAAAAAATTGGTCTTTACAGCCCTGTTTTATTCAGATAAATTAGAAATTATATATTTTTAAAGAGTAAATGGAAGCATTGAACAACTGATAGGAATCTTTCAAATTCTTTATTATTATAGGTGTAGTCATGTTCTTACTGGATTTTTAAACTGTTTAATTTTTAGCTTTAACCTTGTTGAGGTGAAAAAACCTTTTGTGCTATACCTGCTTTGAATTAAGAATAAGGGACCTTATTTTCTAATTTTTCAAACCTGCATAGCTACTGTTTCTTTTTGAAAATTAAACCATATAGCTAGATTTGCAGGTACTTTTTGATTACATTTTGTACATTTGGATTAAAAGAATGCCTTTATCTTTGTCTGTAGATATATAAATATACATTTTTCAATACTTTAAAAATTTTTATTTTAAGATATTTAGAATGGGAGCTTACCTGCCTGCAGTAAAACAGGTCCCATTGGCAGATCCAATTGTAGAAAACGCCACAAAGAGAGGAACTATCCAAGAGGCTGGATAAAGGACTCTGTCTCCAAATGTCTGGGATATAGGATTAAAATTATTTTTATTGTTTTAACTACCATTTATTATATTCAGTAATGTTGGAGCCTCTTTAAAAGTACAGTAAATGGATGTCCAAGGTATGTTATCGATAAAGATGTCATATATTTTGTGTAATTATTAAAGAATGCTTTGCCAAATGAAGACCTAGGTTAATTCATGAACCACTCTGTAAAGCAGAATATTGTTGTCATGGTGTTTTGAGATGCAGCATCTGTAGGAAACCTTGGGAGACAGATGTAAAGAATAAGACAGAAATTAAATTCTGTTAAAGATGCCTGGTTTGGGAACGTGCCTGCAAAACAGGAAGACAGCGTTGCAGCAGAGCAACTGATATAGAAGGAGTAACAGTGGTAGTGATGGCATGACAACCTCAGCCTTACAGGTGAACGTGTAAAGGACAAGCTTGATAAGGTCTTAAGACTACACTTCCGTTTTTTCCTGTGCCATGGTATGTTAGTTGTTACTACAGGATGGATTAGATCTTATGCAGGTACATTGATCTACTGTAAATGTATTTGAATTAAAAGTTTTTTGGCAGATAAGTTTGGGGTTTTTCGTTGGGGGATGGTTAACTTTTTTTAGCAAGTCAAGCATGACGAGTTCTGGTAACATCAGTGGTGTTTCTTTGTCCAGTAGTAGGACACTCCTCAATGCTAAGCAAGAAGTCTGTTTACAGATGTATAGACCTCTTCATACAGTGCACTCCTTTTGCTGTTTGCACTGCTCAGTGGCAGTTCTGAGATTTGTTAATTTAGTCTAAGTTTAGTGCTAGCTGATGTGTGTTCAGATTGTGAATTCAGTGGTATACTGAAGAGAACTAGTTCTTAAATAAGGTATAACTAGATTGAGACATTGCTGTGCCTCTTGGTGCAAACAAGATGCTGAAATGCAAAGTTCTACATTTTAAAATATTCATTTCTACGTTAGTGTATTACACTTTGCTACGCTGTATTCATGTCACATACTGTTTGTTTTCCCCAAAAGCTTAACATTAGGAAAAATTGCTGCATGACCCGTCAATGGTTGTTTCAGAGGCAGATGCCCCGGGGAAAATTTGCTGAATGGAACTGAAGGGACAGATGTGTTTTAAGACTTCAGAAATCTGTATAATCTTTAATTTTATATGTAATAGTATGTCTTACATTATTTCCATATATCTTAGCTTTGTTAAGAAAAAAAAGCAAGAATAAGGTGGTGAATTATGGACTACTTGCTGTTATCTTCAGAACAACTAACTTGAATCTACTGTCATTTTACATGTGCTTGTTTCTTAGCAATACTGGAAACACTGAGAAGGGCAAAGCAGCAGTCAGATGTTGGTTTTCCTTCCATCTTTTTGGTGCTTATGGAAAACAGTCAACCTCTGAGCTGCAGTGTTTACAAAATATTAGCTGAAGACTGCATTACTTTCTTACGTCCTTTTTTTTCTTGGGATATGACAACTACTGTTTAAGCATTACTGAAATTAATTTTAGATTAAGAAGGAACAGCAGACAATGGGGGGAAAAGGTGACACAGCGTAGACAGAAATTAATTGTATGTTAAGAAAAATTACAGGTTCCTTTTTTACTCATGACTTTAATGCACACAGCCTTCTCCAGATGCTCTATTACAAAATAAAGTGGCTTACCACAGCAACTGCCTGGGACTGCAGGAGTTCTGTTGAAGTCATTACGGTGAAATATGAAATGTTTATCAGAACGTAACAAACTGTAACCAAGGGGATTCCAATAATTATAGATAGCGGTAGATTTCTAAAGAATGCAAAAGTAAGACTCCATCAGCATTGCTATATCACTGGTAGAGTTGTCACAGTAAACTGTGGACTCTTACTTTTCCCCATATGCTCTTTAGGTGTATTTACATTTCTTTATTGTAGAGCCATGGAAATCAGATTTTTACAACAGGAAAAATACAAATTTGCATAATTTTACAGAGCCTGTAATAGATGCTAGTTAGCTTTGTCTATTAGTGCTCAAACCTTGTTAACCATAGCTTTTAAAAACTAAAAGATAAGCCTATTTGTACAAAAAATATTAAGTGTTTGACTTTTGTCATTAGAAACACTGCTTTCCTACATAGTTTTACCTGTAAGGATTTTTAAGTTCTTCTGTGATGTAATTGAGTTGATTCCTGGAAGGAAAAACATTCATACTATGTTATTAGCAGTCAGATGTTGAAATATTAATATATTATGAAGTCAGGTGTTATTTCTTGTTTTACTGGCTTTTACCTTTTCAGTTTATAAAAAAGGTGCAACCAATCTTAAGTGGTGAAACTGTAGAACTTTTTAAAGAAATATGTGAGCTTTTTATCTGAATGTCAGCCTCTTGATTCACCATCTTTTTCTCCATTATCTTTTCTTCCTCACAGTTTTAGAAGTATCTCTGAGATTTTTTTTTGAAATAAGATTCTTAGTTCTTGGATAAAATATCACAGAAGAACAAAAATTTGGCAGACGTTTATCTCAGATTTACAAGACTGCCTTTGAAGTTCAAGCTTTGCAATATCTGAATCTTTTCAAATAAGAGCACAAGCATATACTTTGCAAGGACTGAAGCAAGTCTGCTAATATTTCACAATTGTTCTGTAAATCTTATTGTCTAGAAAACTGACGTGAAAGTGTTTTTAAGGATTACGCTTAGCAGAATTATGATTTCCAAGTACTTGTTTTCAATCTGGTTTACATGCTCTAACATAAACAGATTTTTACTCATCAATTTATGAAAATGTGGGGAGGAGTTGGTTTTTACAGTTCAACAGGCTAATTTTCAAACTTCAGTGCCTGGTAGTTACATATTGAAATAATTGTTTGGGCACCAGCTTCCCTCCTCCCTTAAACCTGGGTGTCTGTCTGAATTAGCAGACTTAACGTGTCTGAGTTGAGACACTCAGGCTTGGAAATAAAACCTCAAAGAGTAATCCACTTAAAACTGAACTGGTGTTCTTTTGCCAGAATTCATTAAGAGATCCTTAATAACAAGTAAGATGTTAACTTTTTCAGATCACATCTTTGCATTCTACAGAAAGAGAGTAAACCAGTTAAAGGCTGTTTAACCGTTAACACTAGTAAAGATACCTTACCATCCATCGTACGCCCAGAGCCCGTTATAAAATGCCAAACCAATAGAACTAACAGAAATTTTACTGTCCTTAAAAGAATCTTCAAAGTTTTCAGTTTTTCCTGCAAATAAAATGTGGATTACGGATTAGTGTTGAAATTAATTCCTTTAATCCCCACCGAATGAAGAAACATTCCAACATCTGTTTCATGTTTTGAAACATCTCAGTGTTAAAATTGGTACCACTTTTTATTAATTAATCTGTAGTGTTGCATTTCCCACCCCCTTCTCTAAAAGAAAATAACCATATTCCCAAGAGATCTGGAACTAAAACATTGAATAGAGAGAGCCTTATTGTTGTACCGTTTCTGTCAATGGGAAACTTTTTAATGGTCACAGCAGAAGCTAAAACAAATTTTGCAAGTAAAGTATTTAATTACCTTGTGCAAGGAGAACAATCCCACTTACAATAATGATTGTGACAATGATCATTTTAGCAGCTGTGAGAAAATTCTGAAGATAGCTTCCCAACTTCACACTCAGTGAATTCACTATTGTAATTATCACTAAAAAAAAAAAATAAATTTATCAAAATTGAAAGAAAAGTTGCCTCTTAAAACCTTCCCCCCCTTATTTACTGTACTGCATTTTCTTCCCACTGTTTGTATTATTGATAGTTTTTTAACATACTAATGTTTGAATAACTTTTAAAATAGGAAAAAGTTTTATAAATTAGATTTTTGATAGTACCTTTAACAAAAGAAAAAATATTTTTTCACAGCGTTCTGATAAATACAGAAATAATATCTCTGCACTTAATTTTTCTTCCTTTTCTGCTAGAGATAAACATTCATTCCACAGCTGTATTTTAGTAAAGAATAAAATAAATTTAAGACTAGGAGCAGACTACTTCAAAATCTATCCTTTTTGTATGTTAAATTAAGTTATTGTGGGAAGGACTTGCTGTACTGTGTTCCAGTTTTCTGTTGCTTTCAGTGTAGGATCACTTCCCAGTGTCGTCTTGAAGATTAACCTACTCAAGTTTTACTGTGCTGAAATGCTTTCACTGATGGGGCTGAATGGAAATCACTATGCAATTATGGATCTTGTCTCTTAAAATTTAAAAAAAGTCTGGACTTTACCAATGGCAGCTGCAGCAAGACACTTGATGACAACTTGGGGTGGATCACAACCTGGATAAAAAGGAGTTGATGCATATTCTGCAAAGCTGAGACAAATGATGGCAAATGAACTGGGTTTTGTGACAAGTAAGCTTGTCCAAGAAAACAAAAACGCTGGAATTGGGCCAAATGCTTCCATAAGGTAAGGATATTCTCCTCCGGATTTTGTAATCATTGTACCAAGCTCAGCATAACAAAGGGCCCCTGAATAACAAGAAAAGCACTTATTGGTTATTTAGTTCATGCACTTCTTAAACTATGACTAGCTTAGAGCAGTTTATCACTTTTTTTTAATAGCAAAAGTTAAAGAAATGAATATATACAATACAACATTACTTTTATAACATTTTTTTTCCAATTGCTCACAAGCAATTAAAATGCTTTTGCATATATGGTAAAATGTACTGAAACTATTAAGTTAGTCAGGAATTTACTACTATTTGTGTTTAAGACTTCAGCAAATAAAGTACAGACATTCTGATTCTCTATTAGATTTCTTTTTAAGAAACCAACACTATACAAAGCGTGATAACTGCACTAGAGCTGACTTACCTTTTGGAAACTTAAAAAGGCTTGCTGCACAATTTTTAAGTAAAATGTCTACTAAGCTTAACTTTAATGTGCAGTAATGCTTCCAGGTTTATTGCTGTATCTGGCATTTTGCTTAAAGGTTTTTTGCATATGCTGTGTACTGACACAATGCCCAAAAAATTTCTTTTTGTTTTACTACTTGAAATATTTTTAGGTGCTTAGTGCTAAAATTTCTGATGACAGAGTATTAGATTCACACAATTACACAAGTAGAAAAATAGCAGAATTACATAGCTCACTGCCAGTAAATTTCATATTTTGCCTTTGACTTAAGTAGAAGAGTATTCATTTCAGTTAGTGGATGAAGTAAGCAAAACTAAAACTTGCTTTCAAAACTACCTAAAAATATGCTTTACAGTGTTAACAATTTATCTTTTATAAATGGCACATACTTAAAATTTTGCCTGAATGCTGCTAACATTCATCAGGATCTGACTGATTGTCCTCTAGGTGCCATTAACCAATTTGTGAAATGGGAGTAGTATGCAGAAATAGTAGATACAAAGATTTAAGCAAAGATTCAGGTTCTTTGACGACTCATTTACCTAATGTTGCAAGAATTCCACAGGCTGCCCAGATGGTTAAACAAGGACCCACAGCTCCAACATTGGCAAGTACTGATTTTGGAGAAACAAAGATACCTGAGCCGATAATTGTACCAACAATCATACAGATTCCACTGATGAGGCCCACCTTGAAATAAAAGGAGACATTTTGGTAAAGTAATTGCTAATGATTTAATAATTACTCTTCAGTTTAATACGATTATAATAATTGTCATTACTGATATTTTTTTTTTTAGCTTTCAACATATAGCTTTTATGAAGTAACAAACTATGTGAAGTTTCTTGTTTCTTTACAAGATGCACACATAACCCTGTGACATACTCCTGCTGTTTCTAAAAGTAGTTATTTGGACTTTGCCTGCCTATTTATTTGCTTTATTAAACCATTCTTTGGATTATGTAGGTCTCAAATCTAACCTTCTACAGGTGAGCATCCCCTTTCCACTCTGGTTAAACTCTTGACATTCTTCTATGAGCACTTGAGGAATTGTGAATTCTTTACGCTTCAAAATTAGTTTTACTAGATGGGCTCGGGTTTTTTTTTCCTTTAAGCAGTTGTTCTCCTCTCCTTGCTTCAGTTATTTGTGCGCAGGAATTATCTTGATACTGCTAGGTAGTGAAAAGATCATGTTCTTTTGACATTGTAGTAACCTTTTCTGGGAGGCGTCTCAAAAAAATTTTAAAAAGCTACTGAAATTTTCCTGTTAGTTACAGCTAGTCTTAACTATCAATATTTTGCCAGTCTTGGCACCAAACTGAAACCACACAGAGAATCTTTTTCCAGGTTATTTAAAGAGGAATTCCACTGCCTTCTGAAGAGAAACTTGTTGGAGAGTAAGTGGCACATATGTTATCTAAAGTCTTTGTACCAGTAGCTATTTTATGGCCATAAACACTAAGAAACTTTCAGAAGCAATGAGCTGAACAACCCACTTCAGGCTCTGAGAAGTGCATATGGAAAGAAACAATTAAGTTTATCAAGTGTCTCACTTGATCAACTTTGAATTTATCAGATACGAAAATAATTAAAATAATTACAAAATACGTATTCTTTTAAATTATGTTTATATTGGAGCTACTTAACTAGTAATGAGCAGTTTCCTAAAAGGTAAACCAACCACAGTGTCAAGATGTTAATACATCAGAGCTAAATGGGTACACAACTGCAGATTTTGTGCAATGATGCACTGTACACAGATACCCCCATGCTGCCTCCCTCTGCCAGCCCCTCGCATGCATGCAGACTGAAGGCGGAAAAGAAGTAATTTTGCCTGCTTTTGTAGGTTCATCGTTTGGGGTTCATGACTCTGAACAGATTGTCCATCCTCTTTTCCGCTGTGTTCTCCTTTTCTTTTCCTCAAGCTTTCTTCACCCATTTGGTTTACTTGATGAAATCTCTAAGGAAATAAAAACAAAATATCAATCTAGCATAGCGTTTGAGTTTTGCTGAGATATTTGGATCTAAAATAGTGTAGTTAAACATTGCCAGAAAACATAAATACACACACTCACACGCAGAGGACTTCCATTTAACTACCTACTTGGAAATTAAAATCAAGAAGTCTGCTTCACCTCACCGCTCAGATTTGCTGTGGATTTTCCTCATACCTAGCTGTCAGTGAGTGTCTTTGTATCTTCTGTCTCAGGTTGCATTCAGTTGAGAGGATACCCGTACCAGAATAAGCTAGGTTTTATAGCTAGTACCTCCTTTGAATTCTTCTAGAGGTCCAGACAGATTTAATCTTCCTTCCAAAAGCATGTCTGTTTTCTTATCTAGGAGACCTTCTTTCTGATCTTCCTTAAATTAGGCCTTGTCTCACTTCCTTGGAGGTGCAAGTATCTGCTAAAGCAGCAAGTCTGCTGTAATTGTCTAATTAGCAGCTCTTTGCCTCAAAAAGAGTCACCAGTCTTCTTGGTGTTGACTCAGTGTGAATGTCTTTTACTGAACATTTTGTTCTGTTTAGAATTAGAATGTAAACAGTTTGTTTTCAAATTTAAATTTAAACTTGTAATTTTTTTTTTGTGTGTGTGTGAGGACTTTGCTTGTTGTCCATAGTACTGGAATAAAATACAACCTGAGATAAGTGAAGGAAATTGATCTGGTTGGGCCCTGATTCTAAAAAGCTGATTCAGTCCAAAGCCTCATCTGTCCTCAGACTCTGCAGCTATAATTACTGGAATCTGAATTTTGAAAATAATTTTGCAGTTACACAGACAGTAATTCAGGAATGCTTCACGTTTAGGCAACTTGGCTAGTATCCAGTAATTCTTGGCTACAAAAAGTAGCATTTTAAATTGACGGAATGCCTATCTCACTACTGCTGGTCTTCAGAAACATTTGGACTATAAAGACATCAAGTTTATGTTTTGAATTAAAGATTTTTCAAGTAAATCATCATGAATCCAACTCTTAAGATTAAACCTACAATAAAAAATTGCCCATGTAAGGAATGCAGGGCTTGGGTCACTGAATTTTATTACAGTTTTGTGCCCAACTTCTCTTTGAAGTCTTGTATTTAGAATGTTTTAATCATCATCTTTTAGCAATTCATACTGTCACTTACCTTATTTATTTAGATTTGTTTGGTGCTAATCAGGCTCCAGGAATCTTTGTATAGTATATTTCTTTATCTCTCCCGTTAGATTTACCAACCAGTTAGACAGCAAGACGTGTCCATGTCTGAAACCAGAACACGCAGAAGCAGCAGCAGCTTAAGTACAGAGGTTATAAAAGGTAATCATTAAACCCATTCTCAGCCAAGAAGCTTTGAGATAGGAACCACAGGTAAACCAATAGTCCAATTAGTTTATCTTTAAAAAAAAAAGTCTTTGTTCCATTCGTGAGAATGTTTGTCCAGTACCTAAGTAGTATGTTACATAGTGAGAGTGAACCGTAATTTAAAGAGTCTGTTTTGATGATTTTACATTGAGCAATTTTTAGTTTAGAAATACTTTGGCAGATAACCTTGAAGTAATTGTCATGTTATGGGTGTATTAAAAACATCTGTCCAGATGTTACCTGCATCCTATAAAAATAGTTGATGTTTTTATCTTGAGAAGGTAGAGAAGTGTGAGCAGAAATATTTCCTTTGTTTTTCATTAACCTGAAGGCAGCTGAGTGGGCAGCTTGTGTTTCCTTCGCTTGCAGTTCAAATTAATTTTTCATTTTTGCAAACGTTTAAAGATCTTGCTTTAGTGAAAAATGCCATTCTCTATTGTTACCCTGAGTGCTGTGAAATAAGGTAGCTTCTTTGATTCTGGCTAATCATCCCTAAAATACTTGCAAAACCCCCCTTAATCATATTTCACTTCATTGTGTTTGGCAGTGCAGTTATACAGCTCCTTTCCTGTAAAACATCCAAACTAGTAAGTCCCGATCAACCGAATCTAACTTGAGATGACATTTTTCAGATGTACTGGTATTAGTCACTGATGTTAAGATAATGCCTCATAAAATTGTAGTACAGGATTGGAAGTAAAACCAAATTGTTGGACCTAATTATCAACAAAAGTCTATCCTGGCATGATTTGACAGTTATTTTTCTTCTTTAACCTTCTGTTTAAGCATGCAGGCTTGATAAACAGGAATTCATTTCTTTTTAATGTTGATGTAAATCTGTGACTAAAAAAGGACTCGTAAGAAAATGTTGAACACTTACGTTGGTTTGTATTTGCCATGTTTTGTGATAGTTGAGCCAGACTTTTCTGTGAATGTCTTTTTTCCAAGATTGAGATTGCCACGTAATGTCAGTACTGAAAACAAAACAAAACCAAAGCTGTATTTTTTTCCTTACTGTCTTTTTTTTCTTTTTTTTTTTTTAATTCTTGCAGAAATAGGGTTACACTTCAAGAGAAGCTCTTCCATCTTAACTAACTTCTTGCTCAAAAATTACCATCTGAACAATGGTTGAACAAGTTGTGTTTTTCCTACAGATACAGGAATAAAGACTCCTAAAATTGTAGTTTTACTACAAGCATATGAAAATTTTTTCTGCATCTTTTACAAGGACTTAAAAAATATTTTTCATGATAGTTGTGATGTAGGATTAAATAAACTAATGTTTCTGTATCCATCAACTGCAGATGCCTAGTTTGGTATTGGATATTATATAATGTACCTCTATGTTCTCTATCGCTGATAATTTTGAAATGAGTGTTTGTAATCTTATCATTTCTTATGCTTTCCATTAAATGCTACAAGGATCATTGAAATAGCTAATGTGAAAAGAAAAAAGGGGGGAAATCATTATGGCGCTAACTTTGTCCTTCAGAATGAAGTAGACACCTTTCATATCTCTGCCCTGGAATTTCAGACCAACAAGAAAAAGGGGAAAAAACATATAATATTGATGAAAAGATAATGGAATATGTCACCTTTAATTTCATGTGAAGTCTTTGAAATTTTTGTGCAGAGATGTGTTCTACATGCCTTGTGATGTTTTCAGCTGTGTTCTTCCCACATCAGATCTATACTGTTTCTTCAGATGCAATAAAAGCATCACTGAAAATGTTGAGTTTATACCTAAGCAACCAGTTTTCCTCAGTCAATCTGGACTGTGAATTTGGAGAGTTCTGTTGAATAGGTGTCTTAAATCTCTGCCAGTGACTTGACCTTAACTAGCCTGTTTCCTTACAAAAATGGAAAAGTATCTTAATTTACTGTCTAGTTTTGTTTTTAAGGGTTAATCTTCTTGGGATGCTATAAACTTGTTAAAGAATTTGCAATTTTACCAGCAATCCTTCTTTTCCTCAGCCACTTGAGGAAAAAAAATAACAGTAGAATCCTTGAACTGAATGTTTATTTTCTTTATGGACAAGAGAAATGGCATTTTATAGCCATGGGAAGACTCCTTCCCTCTCAAATATATACATAGATGAAGAGATCAAGGAGTTCAGATTCCAAGGGGCTGCAGAAGCAAACACTTTGTGGGCTGGTCCTGTCCAAACAGTGTAGTTTGAACCTTTTCAAAAGCTATTTACCAATTAAATCGTAAAAAGTAATTTTCAACTTTAATTCGGGAAATAGAGAGGGCACAGTATATAAATACCCTTTTTATTATCATTAGTCACTAATAATAAAGGTTAATGTTTGCTAGGGTTGGTATTTATTGCTTGCAGTAATGCAGATGTTCTGCTTTGACCAATACTTAAGCAAATGGTAAGGATCATTCTAACGTGCAGGTTTTAATTGTAGCTTAGCAGTATCTAAGAATGGGTACTTTCCATTCTAACCTTGCTACTTAACAGGTTACTTAATTTAAATTAAGAGGATGGGTCTGTTTACTTGCACTTGCTGTTCTTTGAATCCTACCATTAATAAATGTGCTGTAAGAAGTCATCTCACTACTGTCATCCTTAAATGCATTTCCTTTTTTTTTTTTTTTTTGAGTAATTGCAGGCATGCTGCAAGTGGAATATAAGAAAGCAGCGTTTTATTAATAGCTGCGTTGATACTGGCTGATGCTAGTGGATTGCAAGATCTGTGCATCTTGTGGAGGTCAGTAGAAAGCATTAGATGACTATGTAGTTCTTAATGCCCATAGTACATATGGGTTTTTAATGCCTGCATATTTTCCCTACCTAGTTCTTGGTTACAATGCAGTTGCTTTTGACTCTGAAAAATAAGGCTCTTGAAAAGATCTTCAGATTTGCTGAAGTTTTGCACTAGACCTGTCTGAATAGTGCACATTTTTTAGTAAGACAAAGATTTTCTGGTTTTGTTTTGTTAAGCACAGCTGTATAGAGATCGTCATACACTTGTAAATGCTGGGTATCACAAAAAAAATCAAGGAATCTTCTCTTAAGGATATTCTAAAGAAACTTTTGATAACCTCTGAAAAAAATTATCTTGAGTATATCAAATTTGGGATTTTTCAGAGATTTCAGGATCGAAAGTTTTTAAAAGTGTTTCAGAGCCTGATCAGAATTAGTGATTTCTTGAATACACAGCCAGCTCCTCTTCTTTTTCTGTTTGAGGAACGAGTGTCTCACTTTGATCTCCTTTTTGAGTCCAAAATTCAGGTTGCATTCCACTGATGTTTCATCAAGGAGGGATTAACAGATAACATTGGCTTTGGATGACAGCATCTTTAGTGTGCCCATTTCTAGCTGAGGAAGAAAGCAGTGAATGCTCTTCGTCTTGCTTTTTATGGTTTATGGTAGCAGAAGCACTCCATAGAGGTTATGATGCTCTGTGCCAATTACTTTTTAAGTCTCAAGTTTAGTTTTAAGTTCACCAAAACTCGATATTTGATGTGTAAAACAGCTTTTAATTACTACAATATGATGTCTTTATATGTTTCATATCTGAATGCAAGTTTATATAGATATGTTGAAATTAAGTTAGTACAGGAAAAAAAATCAGAACTAAAAAATTTGCGGATGTCACTCACTGAGAAATCACATTTTTAAAGGTAAATAAGCCTTCAAAGTGCATCTGCTGTTACAGATTAAACCTGATTGACGCTGTTGAATTTTTACCATATTTATTTGCATTAGATTTGCAGAGTAGGATGAGTGCTCAGAGCTCTCCTAAATAGAAGAGCTGTGCCTGGCCAGCCCAAGATTTGTAGTCTCGGAGGGAAAGCTCTTAGAACTGATTCAATGTGCCAGTATAGTGGCCTGAATTTTTCATGGTGAGAAATCTTGGGAGGCTCTCTTCTGAGCACTTGAGCTATGTTCTGGCTAGGAAGCATCTTTGTGGCTTAAAAATAGTGAGGGAAGAAGAAAACAGCTGGGTTTAAATGACTTTTAAATAGGCAGGAGAAGTTTTCTAATAGGCTAGAAATTAGAAAATGACCCTGAGTTCACAGGACATTAGGGCACACTTATCTTAATGTGTCTGTTGAGTGTCAGTATCTCCCTGGTATTTACAAAACAACTGAAGTTCAGAGTATGTGATACTTTGTTCTGACCACGAAGTAAAGCTAATACATTTTAACAGTAGTTGGAAAATGCCTTGGAACCACCGAAGTTTGCTCCAGACTCTCCAGTGGTTTTGGAAAGGTGATGGCAGTGTTTGGTCTTTAATTTATAATGACATTACTTAATCCAAATGCTTTTCTAGGGAAAATGATGTTCAGTTATTATAGACAGAATATACTTTGTAAATTCAGCAGTGAAACATCTAACATGACTACAATTCCACAAATTCTGAATTGTTTTCTCAAATATCTTGATAGGAATTGAAGAATGCTCTTTGTTTTTATGTTTTGTGAAAGGAAGGTGAAACTACTTCATTGGTTCAACTTGCAGACTGGAAGATACTGTAAATGGAAGGAAGGTGCAGTATATCAGAAGCAGTATGCTCTGTCAGCAGTGGTTAACATTAAATAGTAAATTGCTACTGTCAGGTGGGTAACAGAAAAAATAAATTGGCATGGTTAGGGTTTTTGTAGTAGAATAAAACAGCCAAATTTCTGTAGTAAGTGTCTATATTTAGTATCTATGAAACAAGGTAAAGTAAAATGATTTTTAAAATCTCATTAAGTTCTGGGTTTTTAAGGTACAGTTTCTTCAATACCAATGTACTAACCAAGCTCACTTACTTGATTATGCAAAATTCCAACACATTCACACTTGAATGTGTTTGGATCTTGTTTCTAAATACAAGGTGATGATTTACTCAGAACAGGGTAGTTAATTCTTCATTTCAGTGCTTTAAAGATGCATAAAAGTTGTTACCTGTACAAACAGGAAGAGTATTCTGCTATTTGTTTCTTTGTAGTACTATAGTACCTAGCAGTAATAGCTGTGACACTGGGCTATAAAGGAATGAGACAGTGACTGAATTCATCAGTATTTCAGTCAAAATAAACTGATTTCTCAAA